TAGTGCTAAGGCACTGGGAGTGTCTTCCTGTCCATGCTGGCTTCCTTTGTCCATTTGTTCCAGAGAGACTTGATTGTACTGGACTGGGAGAGGAGATCTTGCCCTGCTGGGCCTACCTGCTGGTTCTCTCCCTGAGCACAAAACCCAAGTTCTTTTCTGTGCGCTAACCTGCTTGGCTGAGCAAGTCGCTCAGTGGCACTCACTGGGGCAGAGGGGAAATGAGGCTTCAACAGCACCTGAAATTTCCTTTGTACTTTATGTTACGTGGCTTTGTGCTTTCCTTTTTGACTGCTTTCTTCCAAACCCATTTTAGTATCCTCCACGGAAGAAAGGGCTGAGAATGGAGATGAAAGGTTTGTTCTGTTGTTAGTAAACCCACTCCCACTGGTGCAATTTGTTGCAACTCAGAATTAGTTACTGTTTTCTGGATCTTTACCCTATTCATAATTGAAGGCATTGCACTGGGGTTGATAGATGCAGCAGAAGTCAGAGGCATTTGTGAGGGAGGAGAGGTCAGGAGATGAAAGAAGTTAGGAGCAGAGGGCCTGTATGTGTAAGATGTGATGGCAGCTTCTTTGATGCTGCATGGAGTAAGGTGTTGTCTGGCAGGGTTCAGCTCCCCTGGCTGTGGGCTTAGCAACATGGTTCTTTGTCAGGGCTGCACTACCCTAAATTCTGGTGTTTCAGGGGGAAACTTAGCTCAATTAAGGATTCACAGATTGGATTTATTGGTGATTGCTGATCTGCATTGAAAAGTTGATTCATGGAACTGATCTCTATTCCGTGTGCCCTATGCTCAAAAAGGAGCCTGGGAACCAATGTATGGAGTGTGGCCATTTGCTTCTTGGGAGTGCTTGTTCCTGTGCTCCTGGAAAAAGTGGTTGAATTGCAGCCGATGAGATGCTTCCTTTCAAATCTGTCAAAACTGGGTTGCTTAAGTAAAGCTCAGTCAAGTCATGAATCTTACGTTCTTCCTGCTGAGAATAACCTGCAGCTCAGATTTCCTTAAGCAAACTGTACATCTTGCTATAAAACGTGCTGTTTTTCAAGGCTATTCCATACCTTTTCTTCGCAGAATGTCAGATCTTTTATATAGAAGAATTCAGGCTTCTTTGTCAGTTCTGTCATATCTCTCTTCCTGGACCGTATCAATTCAAAACTGACTGCAGTTAGCTTTACCACAACAGCAGGATTACAGATATATTCCTGATAGGAAAGGAATGTGTTGTGTTATTATCTCTTAATCTCACCTCCCTGGATCCTTGGGTGCTTTTAATTTAAAGCTTCAGTTACAATCTGAATCCCATGGTCCTTGTTGCTTTTATCGAAGTGCAGAGAAAATGGAGACGGAATGGAATTTTGGCTCTGTTTGAAGAGGTTGTGGTAGTTGATCAGGCACCTGTAGTCCTAGCTTATGAGAAATGCCAGGCACTTGCAGATCGAGTGAATGGTCAGAAGGGGCGTGTTTTCTGAGTAACACAGGAAACTGTGTTCAAATATATACTGGGTGCCTGAGGCCAAAGACGTTGGCTGGGATGACGTCCTCATCTTGTCACTGTGAATTTTTGGGACAGCAAAGGTTAGAGTCCGCAGTGAGGCTGGGGACCTCCTCTCAAACCCATCCCACAATGTACTTTTTTAAACCACCTCATTTGTAGAAAGTATTCCCTCTTTCACCTAACTTTGCACCTTCCTGAAATGGCTACTTTCCTTATGCAGGATTGGGACTTTTCAGGTCAAGGGCAGACCAAGGAGCCCAGCCATGGTTGCTGCTTAATCTTTTAAATGCCACGTCTATGCTGCTGCCTAGTGTGGTTTGCCTCCAGACAGCAGCTGTCAGATCACACCATCTCTGATCTGCCCCGAGATTTGGGAGCCACAGTGGGGCTCTGACTCCTACCCTGGTAAATCTGCTCCATTAATAGCTATCAAAGAGCCTGAAGTTTCCATCCGAACTTCATCTGGCTTTGCAACAAGCTGGGGGATTAGAGACCGTCACAGGGGAAGGGAGGGAGCAGCCGTGGCTCACTCGGAATAGCCTGACCTATGACGGCATGTACCAGCCTGGGGACGGGAGTTGTCCTGTGAGCTCACAGGTTATTAGCAGAGAGAAAAAGCATGCCTTCAGTTAGCAGCACACCCAGGACCATCTGCTTGGTGTAGGGGCTCTGGGGGAATCTGTTGTTATAGTTTGCCTGCTCTACTCTCTTGGAAGAGCTGGGAGTAGGTTTGAGGGCCAGCCTTGTGGAGCCATCATTTTATACTGCTCAAATTGCGTTTGGATTTGACATCTGTGTGGGTTGTGCCATAGCATGTAATAAAAGGACCAGCAGACTGCATAGCTGAGACTTTTGTACAGGGCTTGCAGATATGGGGTGCAAGCCTCTGTGTAGCAATGGAGGAAAATTGAGAGCTGGGCCCCTTCTAATCCTGGTTGTTTTGTAGAACATGTGCAGAGCCTGATCTTCCCAGCTGGTTGGATGATCCCAGACTGATGTGCTTGTTCCCCTGGCAGCAGATGAGCTCCTTACACGTATGGGAAGCGGGAAGGCAGGCCATCTCAAAGAATAGTCTGTGGGTATGGGTGCACTGAGGCTGTTGTAAACCTTTGACCCTCAGTGACATATTCCAGATTCCTTCAAGTTAAAGTCTCCTTCCCTCCAGGCCTGAAAGCATCTTGTCTCCTGATTAGCCAGACAGATGTATTGCCTCATACAAAGCTGCTTTATATTCACAGCAATTTTCTTGATCTTCTCATTAGAAACTTCATTCCTCAGGCTTTGCAGCTTATGTTTTTGCTAGGCACTTAACATTGCTGATGGCGCTTCTGGTGTGATGGTGCTTTTCATGTATTAGAAATTAGAAAGTCACACATTTGTTGGGCAATCCTTGCCCTACTAGATCTGGTAGCATAAGGAAGTACAGCTGAGCTTGAAGCCTTTGAGCAGTGTTCTTAGAAGAGGTTCACCATACTGCTTCTGGAATGCGAATCCATATTGAATCCTTCTCCTAGTTGTTAGAATGGCAAAGAAGCATGTAGCCTGAGCAGGAGCAGCGTTCCCATGGCATATACCCACCTTCACTGATGCAGGTGAGCAAAGGAGGTACCAGTAGCTGATGTACAGGACTCTGCCTGTCCAAACAGTACAGCTTTTCTTCTGGTCTCCAGCAAACTTGTGTGTACCAAGGGTTTGGAGGAAGGTGGGAATAATTGTGCTGTCTGCATAGCAAGAATGCTTAGAAGCCCATTAAGCATTTATAGCTGCAATGCTTGCTGCTGTCACCTGAGTTAACTCAGAAGGTTTTCAGTCACAAGCTGTGGTTATATATATATGGAGTCTCCCTCTCACCTTTGGTTACACATGAATATCTCAAATAATCCTGGAGCTGAGGAGGGGCTGCTGAGCAGGAAAAAAAATGGAAAACAGTGATTCCTTCCTGGACATTCAATCCCAGACTAAATAAAGGGATTTATAAGCTGAATGACCGTACTAATTACCTGTGCCCAGCTCTAGAGTCAGTTACTGCAGTCATGGCTAAGCTGGGGAATATGTGTGTTTATGTAGGAGTGGGGAATTGAGATTAGCCTCACAGACTTAACACAAATGCCTTCCTCCCTGCCTGTGCAGTAAGATGAGAGCAGGCCAGTAGGTGAATGTTGCATCCTGTTGTGTGGACCTTCACAGTGCCATTTTGGGAACTGAAAATGGAAGTCTAATCCTTGCCCTGGAGGAGCATAATCCTCTTTACGTTCTCTGAAAAGATCCATGTGTAGTATAAGGGGTTGGAGGAAGCTGATTCAGGTGGCCTCCCTGAAGGGACTGATGACAGAAAAGCTGAAGCAGGTTCTTGCTTCAGTCCTCTGAACATAATGGTTGAGATCTATGGATAAAGGTCGGTTGTGTTCAGCAGAGCAGGATACTTCTGCTTTCCAGTGATTTTTGCCTTTCTGGAAGTCACGCTCTTAGCAGCCAGCACTCCCTTTCTTGTCCAAGCATTCCCTCAACATTCCCTCTTTATTGCACACCTCTTGCTCTATGGAATCTCATGTGATTGAGGACTGAGTAGATTTTTCTGTGTTTTTTATTGGCACTACAAGACAAGGCTTTATTTTTGATTAACAAGGATATTGTAATCAAGCTTAACCAGCTGTAGTTTGTATCCTTGTCTCCCTGCTGCTGGAGTTACTTAAGGCACAGCAAATACTGCTGCCCTCCTCTACAGCTGCAGTTTGCCTGGGACCTGCCCAGAAAGTGAAGTACTTTGTTCGTGGCACCAGTGTGACCCACTTAACTGCACAGAGTTCATTAGAAGTGAAGTGTGATAAGGGAAGTACTCTGATAAGGAGTTTTTTGCAGGCTGTGTGGAGCTGAGCTGTGGTGAGAGGAAAAGGGCTGGCTGCTGACACTCTCAAATGTGATAGTGTCACATAGGCTCATGGTGTCATGGCCCCAAATATTCTCAACAGCCAGCTCCTGGCAAGCATGTGCACTGTGAGAAAAGGGGGGAAGAATATGAGACTTTCACTACTCCATCCATTGTCTTTTTCCTAGGACATCTCTACATAGCTTTCTGTGTTTTAGGGCAGCACAGTCCAGCTGTTCCAAGAGCAAAAACCCACCCTGTCTAGACCAGTCTTGTGTTAAACCAAAAAGAGCGAAACCACAGAAATGAAGGCATGTTAGGGATGTGGTTTGTCTCATGTTGGTCCAGGAGGTGCATTAGACCCATGAAGAGCAAACCTCAGTCATGCTCTTCTGTAGAGGAAAGTATTAGAGGTCAGAGTTCATCCTGAGTCATCTATAAATCCTTTTTCAAACTGTGACTATTTGAAGAAATACTGCAGAACTTCTAAGTTAGTACAAGAATAAGGAAGACTTTTTTAACCTTCCTTCTTTACAGCTTCATGAGCAAGAACTTGCAGTGGCTTCTGTTTGTCTGGTTTGTTCTATCTGTGTTCTGTGTTCTAAGTCTCTAATCTTTTCCCTCTCTTTCTACAGGTCCTTCAGAAGCTTGGGAAAGCAGACGAAACAAAAGATGAGCAGTTTGAACAGTGTGTGCAGAACTTCAACAAGCAGCTGGTAAAATAATTAGAGATATGTAATTTCACCCTGGGTTTCAGCGTTAGTTTTTAATTATCTGCTGCAATAGGCAGTTAGAGCATGTTACATTAAATGATGCCATAGTCATATTGAAGTGACCCATAATTCTTAATGGTCCACTCATGAGAAATCACACTCTCTTCCAAATCCCCTATCGTGGAGTGAGTATATGCTGAAAAGTAATGCATATTTTGGACCAAAGTTTAGGGGAAAAAAAATACTTCAGCCAGAACAATTCCTTCAGTTAACAGCTACTTCACAGTGTAATTGGTTTGCTGGGCTGGACGCAGAGGTAAGGGAGAAACATTATTTTTTTTCTGAAAGATGGGTAGGAGGGGAAACAGATTAGAATTGAAAAAACAAAATGGAACAAGAGTAAATTAAGTTCCTGAAGTGCAACAAAAGGTGGAAGAGAGATGAACAGAGCAAATGGAGAAAAAGAAATGTCCTTCTATGGATAAGATCTATATGCAACTTTCTCTCCATCTTTGCACAATCACTGAGTCAGGCTTGAATCCTCAGTCTTTCATGTTTCTGCTTCTGACTTACATTCTAGCACACAAATATTTCAGTAGTGTAGCAATCCCTCCTCCCATGGACAGGAGTAGGATTACTTCTTGACCTGGGTGTGTGTTGTATCTGTAATGTTCAGGCACCCAGATGAGGGAAGGTTACATCAATTGCCCCAGGGAGTTTACAAGGCTGACTGTAACTTGGTGGGCTTGATGCTAGGAAAAGTGCTGCTCTTGGCTCACAGCAGGAAGCGTGTGCCACCCCAAACTGCAGGTGGTGCTGGAGAAGGTCTTTAAACCCTTTGTGCCCTGGCATAGTTGGGGCTTTTTTCTGGAGCTGTTAGTGGCAGCTGCATTGTATCTGTTTAGACTCAGCAGATGTGGATCTGTGTCCCAAAATTGTCTGAGATGGGATTATCCACAGCTGAATATAATGAAAATCTTTCACTCTGACTTGGACTTCTATTTAACCAGGGCTCACTACAGATTCCTGGAGACTTATGATCATTTTCTTGGCAGAGATAGTTGCTGTTACTTCAGAATTACATGTAATATCTCTGCAGCATGTCTACCCTTGGAATTCTCTAGTACACAGAGGAATACGGTTTGGCTACTTTCTGGGGACATAACATTACCAGATGTGACTGTTCCCTATCATTATTGAGACTGTCAGCAATTAGGGAATCTTTTTTTTAAGGAAAGCTGAAAAACTTAGATTCAAATCTGTTTGGTATGGATTTTCAGTTTCCAAAGCCATCAGTCCAATGGTGCATTGAGAAGCGTAACGAAGAGCTACTGCCTCTACACTCCTTACAGCTCAGTTTGTTTTCCCATTTTGCAAGGACAGTCCAAACAATTTATTGGAGGATCCGGAGGCTGCTGGGCATTTTCTGCATGTTGTCTGTTGGTTTTGTTTTGACATGTGGTTTTCCTGTCGGTAACATAAATGAAAGCAATACCTATTTCACAGTGCAGATCATAATAGTGAGTTATCTGGATTGTCATCTGAGATTGAAGAGGTGTTATGCTGATAAGAAAGGGGAAAAATCCTTTAACTGTATGTGTGTATATACAACCTTACTTTTGTTTTGAATGTATATACTACATGCATGTGGTGTGGTATGGCTGTGCGTGAGATCTCAGTGTCCTTTCCATACAGAATGTGCTCTAGTCGGAAGCATTAAGTCTGGAGGAAAGATGATCTTTCACTGCAGACCTGTAACAGAATAGCTGTTCTGTGGAACTCGCTGGGTTGCAACCAGAAAGTTTTTGAAACAGGAAGGGACTTTGAAAAATAGCCTTATGGCAGTAGCCTTGTTTGCTCAGTTGGTTAGAGGCTCCTCTGATTCTAAAGACTGTGCCGGGTCATGCTGGCGTGCATTCTCTGGTGGTGACTGTAAGTGAATGGTGAGCAGGTCTAAAAATAGTTTACTCATTTTATAAGGCATCTTATAGTCCTTCCAGATTGTGGATGAGTGGAGAGAAGGGAAGGCACTGCATTTTCCAGATCATTCTCCATTCAAGTTGGTAACAGATATCACTCTGAGCTCTGAGTAGCGAGAGCTTTTTAGCTCAGGCACATTGGATTGCTACGTGACAAATGAGCTGAACATAGCCGTGCTTCTGGGCTTCAGGGCCTACAATTGGCCCTCACAATGGATTCTCTTTGGCAATAAACCTCCCAGCTTGTTCATTGTAAGGCCTTCTCTGTCCCAACATCACTTGTTCCCAGGCAGCAGCACACATAGAATGGTCCTTGGGGACCTGGCAGCAAGACACCTGAGGCAAAAATGCAATGATTGAGACGTGCCAAGAATTGGCTTGTCTTTGCCTGCATCTGAAATACTCTCAGGAGTGAGCGAGCAGGAGGCTGGTGGCAGCCCTTACACCTGGCACTGTCTCATGTTTCTGTCTGGCAGAGCTGCTGAGTTTTGATACCGTTCAGGAGTTGCCAGTCCTGTGGAAATTCAGCATTTCACACCAATTGCCTGAGAGACAAGCTGCTGCTGGTGTGCTGTGCATCCATATCTCTGCCTGGCTCAGCCTCAGCAGGGCAGGCTGTGCAGCTCTGAGTGTCCCTGTGGGGTTGCAGGTTTAATTTTTGCTCTTGTGCTGTGAGTTTGGCTGTGTCGCACCTAAAAGCTTCCTTATGGGCAGAGAGGGTGCCATACACGTAGGTAAACCCAAGAAGTACTGTTTGTAAAATTGAAATTGTTATTTAGTCCATGTCTAACTGTTACTGAAAAGGAAAGAATAAGAATGCAGTTACAACTGTTACATACACACCACTTCCTAGCATTGTGCTTTCCTTCTCACTGCTCCTCTGTGTCCTGAGGTCAGTGTTTGTTCTGGCAGTAGCGGGGTCTTAGGGTGAGTTGCCAGTATCCAGCACTGCCAGCAGTATGATGCTCATCTCGATGATGTCATCATTCTCTTTCTAGGATCCAGCTGGGGTCGTTTTTGTATTTTTTCCAATGTGTTTTTAAGCTACCTTCCATGTCTCTATTTCTCAAGTCCTCTGCTATCCTATGAGACTTGTATTCCTCTCATGAATCTCATTATGAGACTCATAACCCATTCTACATAAAATAACTGCTTGTTATTCCCATGTTTGTAAAACAAAAACTAAACAAAACCCAATGATGCTGTACCAACAAAAGTAACTAGAAGGAACACAAAGTAGCACTAGCTACCAACTCAATTAGGGAAGTTGCTGTTACTGCTAAGCCATGCAAAACAGAGCTACTGGCTGGTCGAGAAAAGTTTGGACAGATTAGGATTGATGCCTCTCTTCTGAGGCCTTGCAAATGGAGTGCAAGGCTTGTTGCAGAGAATGGCAGTACTGTATTCCATGGTTACAAGATGTCTGGTACAGTGCTCACAATTGCTAATTACTGTGCAGTTGTCAAGTTTAGACTCAGAGCTGGAAAACCTGGGATGTTCTCTTCTTCAGCCCTGTGATAAGGGCTGTGGCTATCTATCTATCTATCTATCTAAAGACACATTGGAAAAACATACAGAAATGTCCCCAACTCAATCCTAGGAAGAGAATTATGACATTTTTTCTTTTGAAGCTGGGAGGGGAAATGCTTTAGGAAAGCTGACTACTAATAAGAAACAGCTCTACTGAAAATTGCATCCTTAAATAGTGCTGAGTGAAAGGTATGGTGAATGAAAGCACACACACACACACACACACACACACACACACACACACTCCTTCAATAAAACAAAAAATTGTGAAGAACTCCTAAAAATGCTGTTGTGGTTTTTCTCACAGTTATAAGTAATAGGTGATTCATTAGGTCTTTGAAGAGAGAACTCTCCAGTGTTCCCAGCATAGCATTTCTTTTTTAAAATAAGCATCTTCCTGCATATACTGCCCTTGTATTTTACCTGGTTGTGTTACAGGTTTACAGGATTGAATTACACTGGTTGCTAGCATGGCAGTATCTGCTCACACATGGCTACACCTATGTGTTGCAGCACATCAGGCTTTTCACAGTGCACATTTCTTTTGTGTTTGATTAGAATAACTCACTGTGCTCACTTCCACATCAAAAGCCAGTGCTGTTATTCTGGTGCTAAGATTTTATGTCATCGGTGAAAGGATGAGAAATTAATATGTTGGTCAGCTAGAATTGGCACTGACCTTCCATTTTGGTCCTAGTTTTTCTTTCCTTTTGTGGATTTTTTTATTGTGAAATATGTATACTATTTATTTCTAATATCTTTACATTCTACATTTTAAAATGACTGCAACGGTGTTTCTTTCCTGAGCATCTTCAAGTTCAACTATACCTCTGTAACTTCCCTCTGCAAGCACTTATACCTTGTGTTCTTCAATACCTTCACTGATGACCTTCCCTGCCTTACGGCTTTTTAAAACCTCAAAACTGTGTTCAAATTTAGTGACTCTTAAAAATGATACAGCTGCATTATAAAAATATATAGAACTGAGAGAATTTACATACTCATTTCTTTTGTACCATTTCCCCTTCTGAACTGACATTTGCTAATTCTAGTCCATGAATTCTAGTGCTGCTTTCTTGCCGTGGGCATAATTGATGGAGCTACTGGTGGTCCTCTCTGTGTGCTCTTTGATTACTGTGGCATCTCCCCTCTGACACTTTCTGATTGCACCACTACAAGGTTTCATCTGCCCAGCTTTGCACATTTACCTTAAGCTAGCAAAGAGCTCTGTTTACTTGCTTTATGTTGTAAGACACCCTTAGGACTTTAGCAGCTGTTATGGCCGCTCTTCCTTTATTCTTGTATGCTCTTTGGGTCACTTCCCTATGCTTTTCTTGCCAACTAAGGTCCAACTGTCTTTTATGAAGGTAGACAGCTTTTTGCTGTCCCTCATTTTCTTTGCTGATGGCAAAGTAGAAAAATAATAAATGTGAATTCATCCAGAACTTTTGAGGCAAGGAAATCAAATCAGAAACATTGTTTGGAAGCAGATGGATTTCTTCACAATGCTATACTAGCAATACCATTTCAACAGCTGGACAGATTTAGCTTCTGCTTAGAAAGCACAGCTGCACCAAAAGCACAAAGGATCTGGGCAGGAACTCAGTTGAGTGAAGAGGTGGCTCTGTTGTAGGGAGAGCTGATAGGAAACATCTGCTTGTGAAGTTATTAGCTCTGAGGCAGCTGTCAGAGAAGTTCTGTGAGCTCTTCATCTCTGGAGTTGTCTTCAGCTGTCAATATTCGTTGTACTGGAGGCCCCCTCAAGGTACAAACTGGGAAGGAAAATGAGGAATGGTCGTGGGGACATGGATCTGACTGTGCTCAAAATGGAAGAGTGATTGTATTGAGGAAAGTGTACGTGTATGCATGTCTGCCTAACTTTGCTGTAAAAAATTCTTTCTAATCTGAGTTCTTCTGCAGCACTTATCTGTGTTGTCTGAAAGCTCAAGCAAGCAAAACTCAGACTAGTGTCTGGTTTTAATCTTTTGTTTCCCAGTATGCAAGGTCTGCTGTTGGCAGGCCACTAAGACAGTAGAGCTGAAGAAGAAAATTATTTCTTTATTTGCAAGCCCTGCAGTTTAAGTAGGATATTTGGTCAGGTCAGAGACCCCTTGTGCTCTCTTTGCACAGGGGTTTTTAATTAGAGTGTTACAGGAAAGTGGTGAACTAAACTTCTCCCAAAGCAGTACCAGACAAATGTGTCTCCTATAACCTGCAGACTCCTTTCAGTTAGATTTGTTGCACAGAACTACTAACCTTTTTCTTACAAACTAACTATTGTTTTTTGGACTATTGTATTGAAACATTAAAGCTTCAAAAGCAGTTCACAGCTTCACTGACACAAAGTTCATCAATAATCTGGTGGCGTTGTTGGCCGAACATGCATGCAAGTTACCAGTTGTGGACCTACCAAGAAGATCAGAGGATTGCGTGGTTGTCTTGTTAATGTTTGTTCAGGCTGGTTCAGGGCTGATGTTTGGCTCATCTGCAGGGTGAATTTTCTTTCCTTAGAAATGCTCGATTCCTCCCTCCTACTCTTTAAATGGGAAAATAACTGATGGTCTTCTCCTGCTATTCACAGTCTGAAGGCACGAGGCTGCAGAAGGATCTTCGAACTTACTTGTCTTCTGTAAAAGGTAAGATCAGCATATGCAGAGGTGTTTCTTATCCTCAGGCATGGGTTTTAGAATAGAAAGAGCATTCATTTGGAAGAGACCTTCAAAGGCCAATCAGTCCTGACCTTTCCAGAGCTAACCAAAAGCTAAAGCATATTAAGAACAGCATTGCCTATTGAACACTGGCAGGCAGGAGTCATCAACCTTCTCCCTCTAAAAAAGCCTGTTTGAGTGTTTGACTGCCCTCATGGTAAAGACATTTTTCCTAATGCTTGGTCTGAACATAGTGTTTCCCAAAACCAATGGCTTGCAAATGGTAGTCAGGTCTACCCAGCTCCGAAATGGTGCTCTGGAGGCAGTGCTGTGTGGGTGCTCACAGTGTGTGTAGTTACTGAAATGCATGATAGTGTTTTCATGGTCCTGAGTGAGGACTTGAACTGTACAGACAAATGCAGAAGAGGTCATCCTTGTCTGGTTGGGGGTCGCTTCAAGAGTTTCTCAGACAGGATGGGATTGTGCTTTAATGCTGAGCTGGTGGTGCTCTCTTAGCATATAGATTCTCATATCTTCTGCCTGGGGAAAATGAACACACAATAGTAAATGTGACTGCATTCTTAGTTCCTTTTTTTCCTGTGATTACTTCCATTTTTGTGTTATTAAGGGGCAGACATTCAGCAAGTCCCATCTTAGCATTTGTTGAAGCTTATTCAAAGCTTCTTGCATTGAATTTCATTAAGGGATAAGGGATTAACTGTTTCCTTGTTTCTGAGGCAGTTATCTCTTCTTTCCTAGCTATGCATGAAGCCTCCAAGAAGCTGACAGAGTGTTTGCAGGAAGTTTATGAGCCGGACTGGCCTGGGAGAGATGACACAAATAAAATAGCAGAGGTAAGACTCAACGGAGGATGTAGACTCACTAGGCTTGGAGATGAGGAAAGGAGATAAGCTTTGGAAACTGCATTAGTGAACTGAATTCCTTCAGATGTGCATCTTTGTAGTAGGAATCAAAGAGACAAGGTGTTGGGAAGAAGGGATGGCTGAGGGGATGTGGCCTGTATTTGTTTCCCAGACTCCTGAACACTATGAAGAGCCCTGTACTTATGCATACAAACAACTTTGTTCTCTCAGCAATGGCTAAAAAGGGGCAGAATAAGCCAAAAGAGAATCTGTAATTAAGTAACTGGGCATGTTTTTCATTCTCTCTGCAAGAGGAATGGGAATATAAATCGATTCCCAAAGCATGATCAGAGCAGCTGTTGTGTAGCTGCGATCAACCTCCCACTCATAGCACTACCACCAGCTACTGTATTTTACTTGCCACTTTGTTTGACTGGGCCATGTGTCCCCGCAGCCTGCTCTTCTCCTCATCGTTTGGTGAGGTGATGCCTGTCCAAATTTGCCCAGGTGTTTTCTGTGGAGTGTGGGGCACAACGCATCATTTGACAGCTTGGATCTTCCTTGGCATTTACATGCAGTGGTCCAGCTGGAGACAGACATGCTCTGCTGTCTTGTTCAGCTGTTTAACTGAACAGCAGCTGTGGCAGTTCGGCTCTGCCATGAGGCTGCAGCTGTTTGTGGCAGCAAGGAAGGCACAGGGAGGAAAGCAAGACAAAGACTGTTCCCTTCCCTGTATTTTCCCTGCAGAATTCTCTCTTGAAATAATATTTCCATCTTACCCAGGAAATACTGTCTTTAAAGCAGATAGAATTAAGCAAAACCAGGATGTTTCCAGGTCAATTCTTTCATTAATACAGAAACTTTATATTATGAGGTGTTATTGCAGTAAATGGAGATGTAATTCAGCTGGTTTGGCTTCACATTCTCTATTGGCCTCGTTTCTTCTTGAGCTACCATGGTGCCTCCTAGAGGACTGTCCTTTCTGAAAACTCGAGCCAGAGGGGCTAAAGGGAGCAAGAATCCTGAGACCTAACTGCAACTCCTCTGAGAGTAGGCAGTAATATTTTCAGCCTCCATCTTCCCATTTAATGTCTGTCTTGGCTTCTCTCCTTCGGGAAAAGAGAACTGGAAGAAAAGTACTATTCCTGACCAGAAAAATAACACCCAAAAATTTCTCCATAACATGGGCAATTTTTCTGAGTAGTTTTGCCAAAACCATTTGGCCAAATGGAAAAACAGGAAGTAGAAGTAATTTCCACTTAATCCTGGTTGTTGATGGGAAATTAGCTTGGCTAAGAAAAATAAAGGATAATGTATGTGTGGCTTAGAGAGCTAGCTTTGAAAAGAACCTCCAGGAGGCTGTGGAGGCAGGTGGTGAGGGCTGAAGAGCGCTGTGATAGCATTCTGCTGCTTATTATATTCCAGAGCCGCAATACAGTGAAGGAGAAAACAGTGCAGTGGTGTCAGGTGTCCCAATTTTGTTGCTGCTGGAGGAAAGTGACTTGGGAGGAGGATATGAACGGAGCCCTGACCTTCATCTTCCCTTCTGCTATATGGATTTGGGCTAGTTTTGGGCTAGCACTGCTGGGGAAAAGGCAAACCCTAAAAGGAAGGTTTCTGAAGGATGCTGTATCCTCCAAGTGGCTCCCTGAATTAGCAGCATCAAGCTGCCTTTTCTGTTTCTACATTTCTGCCATGACCTCACTTTTCATCTTACTTTTCTGCTTCTTTGTTTTTCCAAAGAAATGACTGTTTCTTAAGAGCTCTGGGGTCTGAAATTACTAACTGTAGCACTTGCAGAATGCAAAGCTCTGTGCTCTGAATAGTTAACTCATTGCTTTTGTTTTTCAGAACAATGATCTCCTCTGGACAGATTTCCATCAGAAACTGGTGGATCAGGCTCTTCTGACCATGGATACATACCTTGGCCAATTCCCAGATATCAAAGTAAGATTCTCTTTAAGTCTTTGATCTAGAGTCATTGCAGATGAAATCTCATAAGCATTAGTTCTTTGCATCCCCGTGTTTTTTAAAAAGGTATGTGTACTGTTGCAAAAGTTCCTATTAGAGCAGCCAAAGTCTTTGCAGCTCTGGGTCGTATGAAAGTACTATTTTCTCCATTAGGCTTGAATGAAGAATCGGGGGGAAAGATGCTGAAAAAAACCCCCTTAAATGTATAATGAGAACTTGTAAAAAAAATTGATTGTATCACAGTGTAGGAGAGTGGTGTCAGGAGCAACTCAACAAGCTCTCAGTTTTTTCAGTCCTTTGTTATTTTTTAATTTCCCTGTAAGTACAAAACATTGAGGAAACAGTTAGTGGCAAATATACTTTATAGATAGAGGCCAGCGTGAAGGACAGATTTCTTTGTGTTCCCTGAAGTCCTGCTGTGCATATAATCAGCTCTTTGCAGAGAAGGAGGAATGCTGAATATAGGTCTTTTGGTGGGAGATCAACCTAGGTTTGAATGGTGTCCTGTAAATTCCCCTTCCCCTGTAGTCATCTCTCCATTTGTTTTGGGAAGGTTATGCAGGAAATGTCTTCACCATATGGAAGCACTAGTAATGATATCACCACATGGAAGTATCAGCTTGGCTTCTTTCCAATGAAAACAACCCTTTTCCCACCACATGGTTCTTAAAGAGTTTGTCAGTATTTGTTGCTTCAGGAGGATCGTGCTGTATCGAAGGGAGGCAGGACATAGGCTTGTAAAATGAGCCCTTGACAGCAATGTCATTGCCTCCTGGGGCTCCTTGTTTTTGTTTCATTTTTGCAACCTCTTCTGTTCCTGGAAATGTGAGGTGGGGAAGGGCTATTGCTTTCCAGCTGCTAAAGGCTGTAGTGCTGATCATACCCTGTAGTGTGATTCCCATATGTATCTTAGCAGCGCAGAGACCTGTGTGCTGCTGCTTCTTTAGTGGGCTCTCTGTAGGTTCAGACTTCTGCCCTGCTTCTGACTAAATTGCATTTTATCAGCCCTAGTGACTGTGCACTGGTTAGTAACAGCAGTGTCATGTTTCTTCCATGCTTAGCATCTTTGGGATTTCATAATCCTGAGGTTGTACAGTGTGATTTTAAAAGGAGTGTGAAACTTGGACCACCCAAATTCCACCAAAACTCAAGGGATGAGCCAATGAACACTCACTGATCCTTTCTGACTTTGGAATGGGTCGAGAGATAGCTCTTACTGATATCACAATCTTCAGGTGATGCTCTAGAATATCAGAAGTTAAAGTTCTTAAGGGTGGCATGCAGGAAAGAAAAAGTAGTCATGTATAATTAATGAAATACTTCAGTTGCTGTGGTAATAGTTTTGTTTTGTTTGACACAAAAAGCTTTTTTTTTTTTCTCTTTTGCTTTTCCTGGAATTCTGGTGTTAGCGTGATGAAGAAAGATGATGGAGAGAAAATGATTTTAATTTAGTTAAGTGAAGGCCTGTTTTTTGTTAATGGCCCAGTAACAAATGTGTGTTGCTAGATCATGCATGTGTTGTTTGTTAAATTCTAACGTGTTCCGAATCTTCTTCTGCTGTTCTGATGGGGCTGGAAAAATTCCCTCGAATTTTTTAGGTTTCCTACAGGATCTACAGCAGAAATGTGAAAACATACTATTCCTTTAGTAAGGAAAACATTTTTAATGTTTGCTGGGGGGAAACAAAACAGTCTCTGCCTTTTGTAACTTGAAGAATGGGAGCAAAAAAATTCAGGATCCTTTCTGTGCAGGTCAATATCTCTAGCTTTCTGAAGTAGGACTTTTGTATAGTCTGTTATTTAGTGTTTCTGAGTGAGTTTTTGATTGTGATTGTGGAACACGTAATGACAGTGCAGGTCTCTGCAGTGAGCCCGGAGAATATGAACCATAACCTGTTTTCTGACTAGCTGTGGGATTGGAAAATGTCTGTCTTACACTAAAACTGGTGCACTGTTTCTACCAGGTTTGAAAACAAATATCAGCAAGAAAAAAATATTTTTAAAATTGAGGTTCAAATTAAGATGGATATATTGTAAGAAATAAAAACATCAAGTTCAGCTTCTGTCATTGGTGGTGAGTAGCTACAGCTGTCCTATAGTCATACACAAAACCTTACAGGCATCCAGAACTGGGCTAAGTCCTGTTACTGCCATCACAGGCAGTTGCACAATCAGTGAGTACTCCAGAAGGACTTGCTGGATACTGATTCCTTGCAGCACTTACATGTATGCCATTCTGACCAAAGGAAGGCATTCATTCCCATAGATCTCCCACTTGGTCGTGTGTTTAATCTGGACCGTGTGGAAGATGCATTAACTTGCATCTTGGAGACACCGGTGCTGGAAGCCCCCTCCTACAGCCCATCTCGGTGCCCAGCTGGCAATATTTCTCAAGAGGAGTGCAGGCTGCCGCCATGGGAAGGTGTCTTTTGCTGGCTGTGGCTGAGGACTGGATCAGCTTCTTCGTGATTCCATTCTTGGAGCAAGCTGAGTGCTTTGACATTGTCTGGGTTTGCGTGTGGCTGAGATCCTGCAGATTTCTGTGACTCACGCAGTGCTGCAGCAGTGTTCACTGAAAGCTTAGAGGAGCATGTGTGGGAGACGTGCAAACTGGTCCCAGCTGGTCTGGCAAAGAGATCAACCCTGAGTGTGGTTTTGCAGTTTATCTGCAGGAGTCTGGGGAGAAGAGACCATATCTCCCTGCCAAGGGCTGTGGGGAAGATTTTGCTTTGCAAGTAAATCCTTGATGCTGATTCCTCATCTTGCAATTTCAGTTTCCCCGAGTTGTATGATTAATTTGAAACCTTCCTGGCTCCTTTGTGTCCTCTTCATTCAAGCTCTTCAGTTAGTCTTCAGCTTGCTGATCACTGACAGGGCATTTAGCTCTCTGTGCTACAGCTGGGCTGGGAAGCCCTGTGCTCTGACTTATATCATCTGGGTTGTTTGTAGGGGAGCACAGGGGGAAAGGGCGGTGGATAGTTTATAGCAGAGCAGCCTAATGGGCCTGAGTCCCTTGGCACTTCTCTTGCTCAATAGCTAGTTACAGTGGACCACTGGTCATGACCGTGGTCACATCAGCTGATCCATACTTCTGTCTGGATCTCCTGTCGCAGGGTCTGAAATGCTGTCGTAGGCATATCCTGAGCATGTGGAAGAATGCTTTTGCTGTGCTGGCAGCAGAGATGCCTTCTTGTGTTGAACCATCTTTTGAGCTTCTGCATGAGCTGGGGCTATGGACTGGTTAGTTAGAGAGTGGCAGCAGCCCTCTTGGCCCTGAAAATGAAGAGACAGGTACCTGCAGGTTGCAGGCATCTTTTAGCACTTAAGCAGCACCTGAACTACAGCTCTGAAAACATTAATGTCATTCAGAGGTGGGGCTGTTGTTGTATAGATCTGTTTGTCTTCCCTGGCTGGATGTTCCTGAGCAGCTCCCTCCAGGGTGGTTGTTGCCATACATGGCTCCAGGGCAGCTTTTGTAGGATATCCAGTGGAAGTCCTCGTGCAGGCAGAGCATGAAGCTGGGTGAACAGGTACAAGCAGGGAAAGCTGGGGGGATGAGAGGGGGATCCTAAGATTGTGGTTTTGGCTGCTGGGTTGTCATAACTCTTTTTCTCCTTCTTTTGTAGTCTCGCATAGCAAAGCGAGGAAGGAAGCTTGTGGATTATGACAGTGCCAGACACCACTTTGAAGCCCTGCAAACTGCAAAGAAGAAGGATGAAACCAAAATTGCAAAGGTAAAGCAAACAGAAGGATGTGCAACTCTCCTTTCATTTGGGAAGTCTGCTTTTTGCTTAATGAGCAGGTGTAAAGCAAGCATGTACCACTTCACTGGGTATTCTTTGTTCAGAGGGGTGTTGTGGTGAGGTTTGCCTAGGTGTTTCCTTCTCACCTGTTCAATTCTCCTAGAAGGCAGGATGCGTTCTGGTGTCTCAGATCACACCCACCATCACCAGTTGGGCATCTGTCAGCATCGCAGCAAGGCCCTGACGTGTTTTCTCAGGTGTTGCAGAACCAGTATCCTCTATTGGAATAGCATGTGCCCCTCTGGGGGAAACAAAGCCTTGCAATACCACAGTAAAACTTGCCAGCTTGTTTGCTTATTAGGGTTCTGTCTCCCCATATTAAAGCAAGAGTGACTATAAGAGTTTGAGTGTTTCTTGAGGTTGGTGGCATTTCTGAAGTCCTTTGATACTCTAACCTGTATTTTTAACCAGGCTGAGAAGTGTTGGCACCCTTTGCTTTGCAGTTCAGGTAGGAAAGATTAGGGCTATGTGAGAGGCAATAGTATATCTACAACATGGAAAGAATAAAGATGCTTCTCTCCCCAGGCTAAAGATTTGTGTTTAATGTCTGACAGTATTTTATTTTTATGCTGCCAGTCATCAGTCACCTGCTCTCCTAGCACATGCACTGTGATTAATCCTGACAAACAAAGAGGAGAATGATTGATGGCTCAGGTGTCATTGCATCATTTGTGTGGCAAAGTGATTCGTGGTTATGTATGCAAGGCATGAGGCCCAGCCAGTTACGTTGTCTGTTGAAAGCCATACTGCAGTGTGTTCAGGGGTAAGAGAGGTATTTCCATGGGGCGTGGTATTGTTTTTGGTATGTGCCTCTGGGATCTTTGCTGCAGTGGCAGTGTGGTAGGAATTCATTTACTCTGATTGGTAGCTGGTGGTCTGCACTGATCTTTGTCATTGCTGCACTCTCTCATGCTGCCACAACTGCTTGCAAAAAATATGTTTTTATTGAGGGATGGTTTGTTGCTCTTTAGTTAACATATGGAAAAAGTTGTACAGGTTGAAGAGTGAAGTGTTGCAGTTTAGGAGATGGTGCTCTGTTCCTGATTCAGCCCATGCAAGTGCCTCTTAGTACTTTACTAGACTTCTTGTGAGCGAAAATGAGTGTCTGATCACATCTTTCTCCCTCCTGTGCTGTAGGCCTTAAGTCCAGGCAGTGTATCATCTGTGATGCATCACTGTAGCCTGATCCTGTAAAGACAGGAACACTGAAAGTACCCCAAAGCTATGTGCTTGTGCTCTTCCCAAAGAGGCAGCCCAACTTCTTGATCCCACAGCTGCTGCCGCCTGCTCAACTCTGCTGAGCCTGCCAGGGCAAATTGTGCACTGATTGTAGGGAGTTCACCTCTTCATCCCTGTGACTGCAGTTTTGCGACCTGTGAAGTAGGGATGTTTCAGTGTAAGGTACTTTGAAATGTGATGATGGGCCCAGAGGGAAGATAAATTTTGTTTATGACACAGCATACAAATGCAAACTTAGTTGTGTGATGTTTCATGGTATTATAGTAACACGACCAGCCTTGGGAATGCCTTTTGGAGATATGCAGTCTCTTCTTGTTCTTTAATATACGATGTTCTTTTCCCAGCCAGGACTCCTGCCACTTATTGCTAAACTCACAACATGCCATTAAAATAAACTGCTGTGGACTTTCAACTGTTGCAAGTAAATAAATGACACGATTAATTAATCCTGACCTCTCTTCAAGGAGCTCCCACTTCACAGCCATGGCTTGGAGTACAGTTGTCTGTGTGCTAGGCCACTAACAACAGTTATCTGTTGCTCTTTGCAGCTGCCCGGCTAGTCTACAGTATCCCAGCCCACACTGGAGCATTAATTACTGCTAAACTTGGCATGCTTCAAAGGATTCATAACTGATCAATCCCAGGATGTTTGTTTTATTCCTATCGCCTTGGTGATACTGGTTTGACCCAGCCTCTCAATACAGTCTCTGTGATTTAAATTTTTTTTAATCCCCAAAACAAAATATATGTTTGTCTCTCTCTTGTATTCTGTTTTTTTCTCTTTTCACTCAAACATGCTCCCATCCCCAAGCCTGTTTCGCTGCTTGAGAAAGCTGCGCCTCAGTGGTGTCAAGGGAAGCTACAAGCTCACCTCGTTGCGCAAACTAATCTGCTCCGAAATCAGGTGACTGCTGATTTACCTGGCTCTAACCCTGCATGCGCTGTCTTGGGCTCTAGATTGTACTATGCTACTAATGTCTAGGCAACGTTCACTCTGGTCCATGTGTTAAGCCTGTCCTTAATGCTCCTGCGCGGCATTGGGCACACAGAAGTTGCTAACCAGTGACTGGTCTGAATCTGTGCCTGCCCTGTTGATTTCTGACCAAGTGCATTAACACTAGGCTATTGTTTTCCCCCCATAAAATGAGATGAGGATGGAGAAACGCTGTGGAATAATGCCAAGATGGAGGGGGGTGTAGTGTAGTTCTTCCAGTTATTCATTTCTTCTAAATGAAGCAGTCGATTTTTACTGTTGCTGTTTAAGAAAGAAAAAAGAGGGAAACACTGAAAAATTGGCTTCTTAACTTCTGCTGTTGAGTAAAGCCGGAAATAAAGCATTGCTTCAAAAACAATTTCTGTGGCAGCTGAGTTAGGTTGCAGTACTCTCCTATGGTAAAATCCCAAATCATCACTGGCTTGGCTTTGCTGGTCTGAAAAAGCCATTTCCAAAAACTCAGAGGTTCAGTCTGCATAGAAGAGGTGGATTCAGCCCAGGGAATTCGTAACCCTCACAGTATACCTGGGAAACTCCAGGTGGATGTCATGGTTGCATTACGTGGCAGAAGTTGGGAAAACGTTTAGGTTATAACATCTTGAGGGAAATGAGTAGGGAAGTAAGAGTAGTCCAGATTTCAGATTGAAAATTTCCTAGTAGTTCTGGAGAGGCACAGCCTCCTGATGAAATTTCCCTTGGTATCTGTCTTGGAGCTCAGAACAAGAACGAAAGCAGTGAGAAGAAAATGTTATCAATAGGCAAAAGAATAGAAGATCGTTACTCAGAGAGCACGAGTTACCTGCTGACAAGGCCCTGGTCTTGTTCAAATGCTTGTACTTTTTCCATGTCATGGTAAATGAATTGCAGTTTGGAAATACAGGAAATAAGAAAACTGACCTTATAGCGCACCTGGGATTTTCCGTCACTTTGTGATGGAAAATCTAGGAAAATACTAGGTTACCACATAAATAATGCCTAGGGAAGGAACAGCTGTGAGCAGTCCTGCTTAAGATGCATAGCAAAGTGAGGAAATAAGTATTCATTCTCGCTGGAAGGGAGAAGGACGTTTGGCAGGCTTCCCAAGGCTTTCCCTGTGCCTTGGGTATGCTGGGAAGAATCTGTTTGGTTCTGGTTCTTGACTGATCTGTTTAGCTGGTGGTACTTCTGGAGGACTAGAAAGGTGGTAGAGGATATTTTAGAAGCCACAGATAAATTGGTTCTTCCTCTTCTCAAGCTGGCTGGTGTGACTGGGAGCAATACCACCTCCCACAGATTACTAGCAGAAACAGCATATACAGGGGCTCCCTCATTCATTTCACTGTGATCTCAGTGTGCTGTGTAGTTAATTGATAATTTTAATCTGCTGGGTGACTTTGCCCTAAAGCAGGTAAGAAGGGATGTATGTCATCTTTCTAGCGGCTCTATTGTAGTGGCTTTAATCTGCTAAGTAGTGTTAATATTTTCAGTCACCCTGTATATTTTCAAACCGATTTAAGTCCTCTAAGTTGTTCCTCTTTTATTCCTTACATAATACTACTGCTAACCTTAAATTTTTGTCTTTCCAGTTATGGGAGGCTTCTTTTTTTTTTATTTTTTTTAATTTTTTTTATGTGTAGCCTGCAAATTTCAAGAAGGATGATATGTTTGTGTTCTGAAGCTGTAGGTTTCCAGGCTTAGCAGGCAGAGAGCTTAAAAAAGAGAAAAGCTTCAGTTTTTGTATTCACCTGATTCTTCAGACTAAAGGTGTTAATGGCAACCCTAAATCTCATTAAGCTCATGATAAAAGCAAGAGGGCTGATGACACTGCATTTATTGAAGAGCCTCAGAGTGTTAAGTCCTGCAAAGATTGCTTCTGTTTACCAGCAGCTATGTTGCTTTCTCTTCTAATTCCTCTTACTTTACAACCTTTAAGCAAAAATGGGGGCAGCAATACTTATTATTTCTAGTATTAAATTAAAAAAAAAAAAAAACACACACAAAAGCAACTCCTTTCAGCATTCAGATTGCTGGCTTTTGGGGCTTTTAGAAGAAGGTCTGCGAGGGATTTCTGTAAAAATGTACTGGGAGGCTTACTACTGCAAACTCACAGTTACAAATTTTGGTGACAGTACTTTTTGAAACAAAGAGGAAAATAGCTTAGAACAGCAAATTCTTGCCTTTTTACTAAGCACTCTGAAATGCTGACTTCAGACCAGGAAAGCCATTCTGGGTGCTGTTGTAGTGATAGCAGAGCAGTGTTTCTCTCCATGGAGGAGAGCCATTGAGCTGGGTCCTGGTCCTTGCTCCCTGCTGGGGAGAAGAAAGTCTGGCAGAGATTGATGGGGCTGAGGTGGATGCCCTGTGGTCTTCCTGCCTCCTTCCTCATGGAGGATGTCTGAACACCTAGCAGTGTATAACTACCACAGCGTGGTGTTTTAGGAGAAGTGGTTGCCAGATTGCTAAAAGCAGCAGGCTGGAAATTGCAGGATGCTCATGAGATGCACGGTGATGGGATACACAACACAGCCATCCCACTATCACAGCTGAGCTGGCTGTGCTTAGCTCTCAAAGCTGTAGCTCGAGGTAATGTCAGGAAAGCGTCTGTGTTGTGTAGCTCCTGCTCAAACCTTTTCAATTTCAGACAGTGAGAGAAGAGGAAGAATTTTTAAGATCATGTTTCATGGGCCTGGGCCTTTCGTCCTGTGCCTCAGTTCTCCATCAGGATGACAAAGGTGATAACTGAAACAAAAGAGCACAGATGTGTAATGATGAGCTCTGCCTCTGAAGCCTATGTTTTTCCTTCTTTCCTCACAAGTCAGCCTCATCTGTTTGCTAGGAAAGTAACACAGTAGCAACCCAGGAGGCTCCTGGAATGTACTGAGGATAATTTATTGAGCCAGGTAATACACAGCCCCGCCAGGGAGGATGTAATGCTGGACCTTTGGCTCACCAACACAAGGGAACTGATTGCTGACATCAGAATTGGAGACTGCCAGGGCTGTAGTGACCATGCAGTGGTGGAGAGTTCATGCTAGTGAGGGATATCAGACAGACTGAGAGCAAAAATAGGATGCTAAATTTTAGGAAAGCTAAATTCCAACTCTTCAAGCAGTTAGTCAGCAAAAATCTCTGGGAAACTGTTCTCAAGGATCAGGAAATGAAACAGATCTATGATCAGTGAATGCACTAGAAGCTGTCTGCCTTATCCAGTGTCAGGACCCTTGCGTCTAAGAAAAATCAACCAGAACTGGGTAGGGAGTGCAGTGTCTGGGAAGGAGCACTGGCTGAGCCACGGGGTTGCTGATTCCTACAGCTGTTCTGGAGTGAACGTTGCCTGTTGCTGATTTTGCCTTTACCTTGGTATGTCACTACTGATACATTGCTTTCTAGGTTCTTTGACCTTCTGAACAGGTAAATGAGAGGGGGAAAGACTGGTTAATGTTCAGCATATCTGAAAAACTGATGGAATACAGTGGTGCCTCATCTCCCAGCTAGCCCATCTCCTGTGTTGGCTCTGATTCTAGTCTAGAGTTAAGATAAGCCGAAGGATGGACTGGGAGATTTTTTTTCCCCCTCTCTTTAAAATGGCTGAATTAGAAACATTCAGTCGTGAGGGGGGTTTAAAGAAGAGTAAGTCTTTATGATAATCTTTTCTGATCCTGCATAAACTGTGTCTCCATTTAAATGGGCTCTTTTGTTGTTGTTTTATGCAAGCTTTCTCAAAGTGCTGTTTTTCAGCAAGTATAGCAGCATATTACAAGGGATTCTGGATAGAAACATCCTGATACCTTCTCCCCATGCCTGTTTCTTAGAGGGTTTGCTTAACTTTACAGTTAACGTTACACCACTCGTGGTGTTATTTTCTGGGGGAAACAATCTATTCCAATCTTGACTACAAAGAGCCTTTGGCAGTAATACGTGATGCTCTGAAAGGTGGAGCTAGATGGAAAGTGGGACCTTCTGTGGCTGGCTTCTAAGTCAGGCAAGAGATTGAGAGCTTGAAGACTATGCAGCTCTATGAGAAACTGGACTTTGAGCCACATGATGTTTTTTAAGTCCTTTCTCCTGTCAGTCCTATCTTTGTGTAGACCTGTCACTAAAGAGCAGTAAGCTGTGGGTTTCTTTATTTAAGCTGACACGAAGATGATAAAACAGAATTTCGTAGAAGGGGTGAGAATCTGACTGGAGGCACAAAGAGAGATCCAGTTCCCACGCTGTTTGGAGCGTGTTGTGACATTCCTGCTGTAGTCACACACAGAAGTAGGCAGTCATAGCAGCTTTCTTTATTCCTTTTGCTGTTGCAAATCAGATAATACAAACATTTTACTTAGCAAGCTTAGGGTTGTAAGCCAGGACACTGAAAAGAGGAAGAGGCTACCCAGGACAAATATGGGAAGAGGAACGTGTTTGTTGCTGATGCTTGCTGTCATCAACAGAAGCCATGATCGTTGTTTTTGACTCTGGAATGCAGAGGAGTTCATGCAGTATCATTGGGGTCAAACAGATCAGATCAAATTTAAACTTTTGACTTGGACTAAGAGGTCTTGTGCAAGGCAAGTTTCCTTTGGCGTTGGTAGTCAACAGCCAGCCAGGATTTGCCCTTGTATTAGATCTTTACCAGTATGAGTATGTTAGGCTGCTGAAACCAACACCTGCTGCTCAAGCATTCCCTGCCTATTCTCCTGCTGCTGCAGCTCATGCTTTACATACCCTTCCTTGCTTCTCTGCTCTAATCTGTGAGAGAGATATCTCAGTCAAGGTTGCAGACCTCTTCCCTTCCTCAGAAGAGGCAGTGCTTTGGAATAACCTTACTTAAGCAGAGTCCTCACAAGGAAGGACTCTTCATCAACACCTATTGGGATGGATTTCAACTCTTTTGGAGACCAAGCAAGGGGCAGGGTCCACTCTAGCTTCATCTGCATTTGAACCAGTGGCTGAACTGCCCGACCAGGTCCATTCATTTTTTGGAACTAGGGAAATGTATAGAACTTGGAACACGTTAATGGATGTTTCAGTTATCTTCTGAGTATCCGAACAGGAATCTCCATTGAAAGAAACCCTGAGGGTAACCCAGGCAGTGTGAACGGGCCCATGCTAGTGATGCAATTCTTGTTCCTGCGAGATTCGTTTGGAATGGGGATTACCCCATCCCAATATTTTGCTTGTTCTCCATGAAAAGTCAAGAGTCACTGTTATCCCAGCCCTCCGAAATACCTGTCTGTGCTGGAGCTTACTCTCTCCCTTCTCTGTTATTAAGGCTGAAGAAGAGTTAGTAAAGGCTCAGAAGGTGTTTGAAGAAATGAACATTGATCTGCAGGAGGAGCTGCCTTCACTATGGAATAGGTGAGTGCTGGAAGTTTTCTCAACAGCTGGTTGGAAGGACGTGAAGACTTTCAGCTTTTCCACAGACCTTCCTGTACAACTGTTCTCAGTTGTTCTCTTGGGCTGGTTTCTGCTCTTGCTTTCTGGATCGTCTCAGAGAATCTGTTCTGGGATTACCTCCAGCTGGGGAGATCTAGGGAGCACCCACCGAAGCAGCAGTTTTAAAACAACAGAGAGGGTGAGAAGATGGTTTGCTGCTCTTTGGATGCTCCTTCTGGATTTAGACAGTTGGGTGAAAAAAACTTAATGGAGGGATCGTGATGTGGGCTGCCCTTAAACGTGCTCCACATAAGACCCAGTGAAGAACTGGTGGTTGCAACTGCACTTCTATTGTGATCTATTTAACAAAATACAGCCTGGCTGAGAGAGGATGAAGACTTGAGAGTTTGGAATTTTGCTATACTTATGATTGTGCTGATAAAAAGGTGAGAGAAGAAGCAGACAAAACAACAGGGAGCTCTGAGGATGAAATATAGGAGCTGACATACAGGGAAGGCAGGGAAAATCCGCCTAGGAGTGCCCTAGCTGCTGATTTTCAAATGCAGTAGCATTGTTTGGGTCAGCCACCTCCACACCTGCCTCTCCCATTTGTCAGAACAAGTTCAGATTCTACCCTACTTGTTCTCCTCCTCATCTTGAGCATGTTTGCCTCATGCCTGGCTTTTGTTCCATCATCCCGTCCACACTTCCTTGCAGCCCTTCTATTCCTTTATGTACCAGACCTGACAGAGTTGAATTCATGTGGGAATGGTGAGCAGAAGGTGTGAGGAGGGGCATAACTGAAAGCCTTTGGAGAGCGTTGTGTCCATTAAGCTTTTCTCTCTTTCATTTTCATTTGGCAGTCGTGTTGGTTTCTACGTCAACACATTCCAGAGTATAGCAGGCCTAGAAGAAAACTTCCACAAAGAGATGAGCAAGGTAAGGCAACTAACAGTTTGTTCTGCTAACACACTCTGTCCTCACTGTTATTTAACAAGCTGAACGGTATGGCTGGAGAGGAAAGAGCAGCTGCCCTGTATAAAAGAAAAACGTTTGGGGGAAAAAAAAAAAAAAGAGGGTTAACAACACAGAAGGTCTGTCTGAGATAGCGATATGAAGGGATAGAACATGGGTAAGAGACCACAAGGACCATGCTGCAGTGAGAGTGTGTGTCACTTGTCTCATTTGAAGATCCAGAGAGGGGAGTGTGGCAAATTTTGGCCCTCCTTTGGTTCCTTTCTCTGTTTCTTCCAAAATCTGGATCTGTAAACTTTAACCAGGGCTCTCAGCCTGGCATCTGTCCACTCCGCCCACTGCCTGGCAGCAAGTTGCTCTGAACCCTCAGCTAGCTGTGGGGATAGAAACATCAGGGAATCTGTCAGTCTTCATGTCAGTGCAACGTGAGACTGGACTTCAACTTAGCCATTAGGAAGGCCCTTCCCAGCAGTAATTCACTGCTTTGTCTTCTTTCCTGCCCTGTGACCCAAAAAAAGGCATTTGATTGCTTAGTGTGACCTTTGCGTGAGTTACCTGTGTGTCATGGGCTGGTGGCAGCTGGATTTGTGTTGTGTGCCAGCACCCAATAGGAACCTCAGAAGTAGTCTGAGGGAAATCCTCCTAGTGCCACTTTCATTTACAGGTATGTTCTTACTGTTAGTACTCTTAAAAGCTGGAGAAGCCTAGAGTTCCTTAGGTCTCTTTGTTGCACCAAAGACCAATGCACTCTCTGTAAATGTTGCTCTGAGCTTGATGAGCAGTGGAGAATCCAGCTGGAAAACTTTGTTATTGCTTCCTTGTCACTGTCTTCCTAACAACAAGATAGCTGCTAAGCAACAAGCAACTTTATAATGGTCATCAAATTCCCAGCAGTCTAGAAGCCTACTGCTATGGTGTAATGCATCAGTTCTGAGCTCTGCTGACATTTCATGGGGACCTTTCCAGTTAATGGCCTGCTCTTCTCCACTGGGAAATGAACTGATTGTTAGGAGTAGGGAAGGTTATTACAATTATCAGTTTGTTGCTGTTAAGTTACATTCTGCAGAAGGTGGGAAAGATGCTTGCTAGACAGGAGTTATCCTCTTATATCATGTTGTGGATTTTTCTTTCCTTAGGACTTTTGTATGAGAACAGGCCTTCTGCTTTGTTCAGTAAGAGCCATCTGTTTCTTATTACTGCAATAGCATCCAACTAAGTGCTGGTGTTGCCGATGTGACGCCTCTGATACAGACTGCATTGGATCCCTCCTCCTACTGATTTGGAATTTGGCATCCAATTTTGTTTGTGAATTGGCTCTTTCAGGATAGGAGTGTCCAGAGTGAATATTTCAGCTTTTGGTGTCAGGAAGAGTTTAACCCCTAACATTGCATTTCTGCCAAGAGATCCAGGTTCTGCCTAAACCTAGATGGCCCAGGCAGCCTGCAGGATCAAAGCTTGCTGTTGGCTTGAAGTCCTGCTGCTATATCCCTCGTTCATAAGGAAGTATAAAGAGCAACTTCGCTACAAATCTAGAGTGGATCTTCACTTTGAGCACATGAAAGACTCTCAGTTAAACACTCTGCCTGTTTCTACAATGGTGCCTGGCAGCACATGGGTGGGAGTAGGTGAGAAAGAAGCAAGGAGGATGGTCTCTTCGGGAGACTGCATTCCCATGAGATACCAGCAGCTTTTCAGTGGTTTCAGCATTGTGGGGTTTTTTTTTCCCCACAAAGGAGTAGTGACAGATATAGAACTGTTTCTTTGTGGGATAGCTAAGTATATGCACATATAGGCACAAGACTGTATTTTGTCAGCCTAAGCAGGCCAGCACAGGCTCTTTTTGGACACTTTTCTCATTCTTTTTCTCTCTTTTGTTTTTATATTTTACAGTTGAACCAAAACCTCCATGATGTCCTGCTGGGTCTAGACAAGCAGTACTCAGGCAATGCCTTTCCCATTAAAGCACAGCCCAGGTCAGTAACTAGTAACAGGAAACATCGTCTTTCTCCCAGCAGAGGAGGAGGGACAAGCTGTGGAAAAGGGAGTGTTTCTACTGGGGTCTTGAAATCTCCATGTTGTCAGCGGGGGGTGATTTGATTGCTTACATACAGCCAGCCAGCACCCTCCTTGAAAACTGCTGGAGTGTGTCTGAGATTGCTCTTGGGCTGGGAGACATGATGCAATACCTCCAGCCTTTGGAGGATATAGATGTAGGCTTCAACTTCTACTGCATACCAATATTTAGGCAATTGAGTAGCATCTATGCTGTTTTAAAAGTCTAATTCCATGAACCAGTGACATACACTGGGTTGCCACTCCTGCTGGGTCTGGTTGCCCTGCAGCCCTCCCTTTTTTTCCTTCTGAAACTTCCCCCCACATACCTGCAACTTCTGAGCTTGAGGACCAAGAGCCCCTTTGTTTCCCCAGCCTTCCCTTTGGCCCTCCAAACTTGGAACACCCTCTTCACCAAAGCCCTGTGTCCCTCCTGTGCATCAAATGGGGATGTGTTGCCTCTGTGTGTGTTGTGGATGTAGTTGTAGCCTCAATATTATGAGGCTTTCTGATCTCAGAGCACTTCCCAGCTGTGTGGATGCAAGGAGTGTGGGTTCTCTACAGTCTTTGGAATTTCTTTTTGTAGTTTTGAGTTTTCTTTCTGCAGCTGGGTCCAGTCCATGTAGGTTAACTGCAAATCTGCACGTTCTGTAGCACCAAGAGGGGAGGGAGAGGTCAGGCTCTTGATGAGGCTGCACCTGGGTCCCATCCAAATGCGTGAGTGATGAAACAATGTAGGACTCTGGCTTCCAGCTGCTGCTAATCCCACATGCTGGCTGAGCAGGAGCACAGCCCGTGTCCTCAATTGGTGCATTAATGGAGGGAGGAGGTGAAATCAGTAAGAAGTAAGGGCACGTTAGTTTGGAAGGGGCTGCGTCAGCTGTTAAGACCTTTGTGCTCTCTTGACTCTCCTCCCAGCCTAACCTCCAATTGCAGTCATGCATAAACGAGTTTTTTGTCTCATTCTGGCAATATGTGTGGTGTTTGCCAGATTTAAAGAAAGATGAAATTTAAGTTAAATTTGGCCCCTGCATTTTGGATTGCTAACGCCACGTTCTCAAGGTGCATCTTATGAGGGTATTATCTTCTATTTAAGTTAGCACACGATGTCTGTTTATAATCCCCAACAACTGAAGCCTTATATGGGGCAGCGGTGCTCATCCTCTTGCTGCTGTGCACCGTGTTACCATGATCCACTTGGAAGAGGATAAGGTAGCAAGGCAGGTGAAAGCCAGTGCTGTTGCTTTCCCAGCTCCTTCCTTCTCCTTCCTTTCTTACACCAGCAAGTGACTGCTGTAGTGACAGCAGATCTTAGATGAATCCTTGTTGTGGCATCAAGTTTTTGGCATGAAAGTTTTCAATGAATTTATTACCTTTGTCATGATTCCTACCCAGACACAGCTGGTTTCATTTGAGGGTGGAATGGGTATCTCAGCTGAGATGAGTCTTGCCCCAAAATGACTATTGTTACCCTTTGCTCGGGGGAGTTACAGGAGGATGCATATAAAAGATTTCCAGGACTATAATGCCTTGCAGGGAACAGGAAATACCATGAGGCACTTATCTCTACATCTGTCCTGTCATTGTGGTTCAGGACAAGAGCGTGCAGGAGGAAATAGCCCTCACCACTCCTGTGGCCTGTATTAGGAGCAGATGCTTCCCTAGCCCTACTCTGCTGGGAAAGGGATTGGAGATGGATACAGTGGCAGGAAGTTAATGACAAGATGTGAGAAGAGGTGCAGTTATTCTCCTGCATCACTCTGGCATCTCACTGACAAATGGGTGGAAAGAAGGTGCTGAATGGGTGCTTGGAAGCTTAACTTTTCCTCCCCGGTCTGACTGTGCTGTCCTGTAACGGAAATGATTTGCGTGCCGTCCTCAACAGAAAGAAAACTAAACTGTTCGCCAGGCTGAGGAAAAAGATGAGCAGGTACCGGTACGGAGAGCAGCATTTCAATATGTGTTTGATTTAGTTCCTAAAACTGGAGAGGCTGTTGCTGGACTCTTTAACAGCCTGGCACGTATTAACCCTGTGATGGGAGAGGGCTCTTTTGCATGATGTCGTGTGTTCATGGCCTGCTGGGACCTGCTGAGGTCTGTGTCTGGATAATCCCATTAACTGCTTGTGTGCCTGGTTTGAATCCTTGCTTCCTTTCCTCCAAAAAAAAAAAAAAAAAAGGTGGTGTGAAAGCTCAGGCATTGTCTGCTTGGTTATTTTTGTGCAACTAAAAGCATGATGCTGGGTTGTATGGGGGAAATAAGGTCTAATTTGGTGATTAACAAGATCTAGTTTTACTTAGCAGGGCTTGCCCTTATGAACAGCTGTGAAATGCTGCATTCTCATTCCCTGCCTGGCCCAGGAGGACCAGTAGGCAGCTCTCACACGCAGTCCTTCCTGTCTACCTACTGTCTGTCCTGTCCTGCAGCGAGAGGACAGTGATGTAGGAGAGGGCCACTTTCAGCTTTGCTCTTTACTTGCTCTGTTCCTGAGGATCCTTACAGTCTTATTCCATCCATTTAAGATTTGTGCAGAGCTGCAGGAAAGGGAAGCCTCTGTTGTTCTGTATAAAGGCTACTATCAGCAGCTTGCCTTTCAAAACAGCTGTGGCATTGAATAACTGGTTTGCCACAATGCCTAGAGTTACTATAGCCAAGGTCAAGGACTCTGACAAGAATATGCTGTGGGGCAAAGCAGGGATTGCTGCATAATGGCATAGAAATTTCCCCTAATTCATGTTTTTTCCTACTCTTTTTGTTGATGTTCCTTGTGTGGTGTCCTTTTATAAGGATTTTTTTTTCCACATTTTCTCAAGAAGATATTTCAGCAGCAATAAAAGCAAGTGCTGGTATTGAGATGCTTGCTTTCTGATCCTGTCTTCTCACTGACCTTTCTCTTTGTCTCTGCTGTACATCCTGTCTGAAAGGAAGAGAATGGTAATTTCACAGGGAATCTGATGGGCAAATATTATTTTTTTCCTCAAGTGAAAAATATTGAATGATTGTCTTCTGAAGGAGGATTCACAGTGCTTCTCTGTATGTCTGTCTCTGACCATGAGCCAGCATTGCCGTGACTGCACCAGGAGGTGTAGCACTTCCAGTCATTGTCAGCCCCTGCAGATGCTACAGCAAAGAGGGAGCTAGTAAATCTCATTTGGATGAGCTCTAACCACAACATCCTCCTGCTGCGCTCTAAAAGTCTGGCTAGTGCAGCAGTTAAGGTGCTTGATCCAGGCTGTGCTGCGGGTTCTGCTGTCAGAGCAGCTGCAGGAATACAGAGAAATGCACGACCCCTTGTGTGGGGAAGGAAGGTCAAGGGCTCAGTTGTTCTTTGATCAGCAGCAAGAATGTGCATTTGGGCCAAGAGACACCTGAGTACATAGGTGTTTTTTTTCTGTCTCCCCTGCTGCCTCTTTTTTGATGTGGGAATAAGTCTAGAGTGTTCAACGAGCTTTGATGCTTAAATAAATAAATAAACAGAACCCAATTACTTTTAGCTAAAAGACCCTATCTGAGCTCTAGCTGAGATGCCTTTTTCTTTTTCTTTTTAACTTGAGAACTTGGCAGGAGGTGGCCTGTCTGTTTCTACTGTATTGGAGATTTGGTTCCATCTTTCAGTGTGGGATTGTTAAAAGCACATAGAAACCCCACGTGCAGATGTTAGTCTGCTCTTCAGAATAGGTGACCTGTGTGAGGAGTCTGGAAGCTCAGCAATACTAAAAGAAACTGGTGGGATTTGGGATTGACTCACAGAAGAAAGGTGACACCCCTGTCCCTTCCCTGCCTGATATTCCTGGATTTGGCATTGCTTCTCAATTGCTCATAGGAACCTTAAAAAAAAAAAAAAAAAAAAAAAAGGCAGCAACTGCAACAACAGGCTACATTGACTTTTTTCTTTTGACTTTCTTCTATGATAACACTCATGCTTTTCCCTATGTTTTCTTGGAGCAAGAAGTCCATTCAGAGGCAAGACCCTGCTCTGTGCAGCACACTGTGTGTGGTTTCCTGTGAAAACCACGGGATCCTGGTGACAGGGTGATTTGGCGCTGGTCACATTAGTTAAACCCGTGCAAAGCAACAAGTGCAGGAATAAAGGTGCTGCTCAGGGAGCTGGAAAAGGCTCAGTCAAAATTAGCACTGGCATTTTCCTAAGGGGGATCAGCCAACACATCAAATAAGCTGTAAATAGCAGTGACTTACTGACGGCTTTGGTGTGGGGCCCTCTCAGCCCTTGCAGGACAAGAGGAAGAAACTGGGCTGCCTCTCATATGGGAGTCTTTCACCAATAGATCTCCAAATTAAGTCACTGCCAGACACCACAAGTAAGTCACCAGAAAGTCATTTCATGGCCTCTAGAAAATGATTGTGAGCTCCTTTCTTACCAGGAGAAATGATCTTTTCAGTTGCGTAGTTAGAGAAACCTATCCTTGTGTTGGATAGGCCAGTTGGTAGCCAGGACTCCCAGCACTGTTTGGGCATTTGACAAGTCCTAGCAGTCCAGTTGCAGGTCACTGTGTCCTCTTACTATTTCCATTCTTCTGCAACTCTCATTGCTATAAGGTGTTGTAGGACCCACTCTGAGATCCCAGAAGTGGCGTGCTGAAGTTCAAGACCCATGTCTTCAGTGAGGCTGAGCTTAGAAAGGTCACTGTGTCCACCTCAGATGATGCTGTAATGGTGTTGCCATGGAAATAGCGGCAAGATAAACTTCTGCTGAAATCATTTCAGGTTTTCCCTGCTGTGAATGAACTGTGTGAAGCCTGGTAGCTCTCGCTTACAGCAGGACTTCCTTACCTTTGCTCTGTGACTGTTGCTACTTAATCTGTAGCTCCATCATGACAATGCCACAGAATCTTTCATGCAACCCACTGTGTCAAAGTGATTTCTGGGGATATTTTAGGAAGGACACTAGACATATCCAAACAAATTGGAGAGCTGCAAAGGTTGATGTATGTGTTTTTCAGTCCATCTTCCTTTTTCTCTATTCTTTCCCCACTTCTTTCCTTTGCGTGTGTGCCCCTGGTTGAGAGCTGCTGGCATAGAACATCACTGATTTTATTGCATCATGTTTGTGTGCTGCTGGTGTCACTGTTATCAGAAACATCTGACCTGCATGTGGACCTGAGAGCAAGTGCTTTGTGGGAAAATGTGTGTGGGCTGTATGTATATGGGAAGAAAGTGGGAGGGAGCAATGGTTGAGGGCAAAGTGAATGGGGTGGGAAGCTTGAAAGCTGGAATGCTGAGCAGAGTGATACGCTTGCTTGGGAAGGGAGGTTTTCAGAAGTGCCTTGCTGTCCTTCATCTTACTGCCCCTCTAGTTGTGAGTGTTTAGAAATGAGATTATCATGCATGTTAGCCAGTGACCACCACACCTGGTCTCCAGGACTCTTGGGAAAGAGTAAAGAAAAAATGTGTCACTCAGGTCTACTTTGTTGCAGTTCTGAGTCTGTGCAAGGATTTATTGTCTCAGGTTGTAGGAAAGCATGACCTTTAACTTTACAGAAGCTGCAACTTTATTATTGTAAATTGAGGCAAATATTGATCCCTGTAGATGAGATTGCACAGCCTTTTTGAAATATTCTGTAATATTTTCATTTTGACTCTGCGTAGTTTTGCCAGGCTTCTTCTGCTATAAAATATCCTGTTAGTTTGAGTGCTTCTACATGACTTGAGATAAGTTGCTTTTTGGGGAGCCAAAGTGTATCAACTTTTCCGAGGCTGGGAAAATGGATTTACTTTTATCCCCATCTAAATTCTCAGATAACTAGCTTTTAGCCAAATATCTCATGATTCCACAGATTGAAGCACAGACCTGACGCTCTGGCAGGGCATAGCCTTTAGGGAGAGGCATTTGCCTATTGCCATTCCTTTCAAAAATCCAAATCTGACCAAGTTATGAACCAAAAACACCATTGGTATATGCTTCTTGCATCTTAATCCTCTGAGGAATCCTCCTTGATTGTGTCAGAAATGGTCCAGGAGCAAGAACCTACTGAGAAGGCAAAGGCATAAAAGAGTTCATCATTGAAAACAGGCTGAGGAAACTTTCCATGATAGAGCTTATTAGCCAAAATCTCTCTGTTTCTTTGCTGACTGGCATGATCTGTGAAACCTCGGTCTGCTTTTCTCTGTTGCAGCTTAGACAGTTTGTACCACATATCTTTTATTACTGCCGTAGTTCAGGTGTTGTAGATCTGCATGTGGATCTGTTGGTTACAACCCATACAACTGTCAGTATGACACTACTCAGAAAATATTTACCTGGAAAAGTTACAGAATGACCTGCACAAGATTCCTTTCCCCATATGCTTCTCTAGAGATGTATTACTTAAAGATAGGCACTTATATAGAATCAGTGAGAATTAAGGATGGCTGTGCTTTTTTTTTTTTCCCCGCCCTTTTTCACCCATATCTGATGCAAAATATATTAATGTAGTGGGACTTTATTGGGTAGCCTCCTGTCCAGTAATCCTGCTGCAGTTGGGCAGCAAGTGATTCAGCAAAGATGCTTGTCAGAAGCTTGTAGAGGCTTCAGATATCATCATCACATTTCTGGGCAGTGGAGCAAACAGGCAGTGAAGACCAATGGTCTGTGCTGGTTAGCTCAACTTCTCCTAGGCCTTGCTCAGACTATTCTTTTTCTCTCTCTCTTTTTTTTTTTTTTTTTTTTTCTTTCTCTCTCCCTCTCTCCCCTTCCTTCAGTGACAGCACCCCAGCGAAAGCAAATAAAAGCCCCTCGCCTCCACCAGATGGATCTCCCATCACCAGCCCTGAGACCAAGACTGTTAACCATGAGCTGGAACCATCCACTTTGGAAGCACCTGGGGCAAGCATCCCAAAATCACCATCTCAGGTAGCATCCCCATGATGTTAATCATGTCTCTACCGTATTACCAATGCTCTGTGAGTCAAAGACATCCATAAGTTGCTCTTATTTGAACCTCTTCCTGCTACGGAGCACAGAATAGAGCATGCCGGTTGCTCTCCATCAGTGTGGAGCAAGCACGAGATTTCTGAGAATGCAAGTTGTTAATTGATTATCTCTGTATTATGCAGGGAAGAACCAAGCTGTCTCTGAATTGCTCGTACACAGGGATGAGGCTGGTAATGTATTTTGCCATCAGGTAGGATGGTCAAGAAAATCCAGGGAAAATGTAGCTAGGCAAGGAGGTTTGCTCTTTACATTTGAATTAACCTGTGGAATCCAATGGTCCTGCCTCTTCCCAAGAACTTCCCTTACTGAGGAGAATCTGAAGAAGAAAGTTTTGTGTTTATGTGGATAAGCAGAACATCAGTATTTTGCATGATGCTTTACTTTAATATAGTATACTATCTTTTAATCTATTATTTTGATCTTGCAGTTAATAATAAGGGTATTATATTATTCCATGAACAAATTAACTGGGTAGTAGGGAGAGAACTGTTAGTTGGCTTTTGATACCTTCCATGTGGCATTTCTTAGGCCTTTGTTTGTCCTCTTCTTACATGGGAGACACCCAGCAGCAGGTTTAAAATGTGTAGCGGCTGCTTCTTAGTGTATCACATGTTGGGATGTAAGGAAAATAAAATATTTGCTTCTTTTCCCCATCCCCTTATTGGTAAGTGGAGAAAAAAGTGTGGTGAGAAGAAAGAACAAATAGACCAGTTTCATGTCTGGTACCAGTCATTGCATTTCAGTAAGTCGGACAACAAAGAGGAGTCTTCCTAAATTAAATCTGATAAGGAATCTGGGCAAACTGGTAAGAAATACCTACTGCTGCTAAAAAAGGTTTAAAGTAAAACAGGACTTCTTTGCTGTTGTTGTAAGTTTGCAGTATGATTCCAAATCCAGGTCTGTGTTTGTTAGAGCTGTCTACCTTTTCTGGAATAGCCTCTCACAATGTTTTTCCCCCCATTATGTTTTTGATTTTCAGAGAATCTAGAGACGAAAAAAGATATTTATACATTGACAAAAGGGTCTCTTCCAGTGAGGATACCTGGCTGTATCTTTGCTAGACTTCTTCAGGGTCTCTGCATACCCAGCATTAAGCCTAGAGTGACTTAACTGCTGCCACCCAGGCCAGGACCTTGGAGCGGAGTTTGCATATTTAAAGGGAGAGAATAGTGTATGTCTTTCTAGAACTGCCGTACTGTTGTGTTTTTTTTTCCTGAGATCACTACAACTTGGTGGAAATTTGGAACAAGAAATGGTACAAATCTATTGAGCTTTTCACTGCAGACTTCACTCAGACTTGTTTTCCCTTTCCTTTAAATAGCGCACATAGACCTTGTTTTTGCCAGGCTGCAAGTGCTTGCTCATTCACTTGCTGCCTTCCTGCCCACAGGAATGGGGCTGGAGGCCGCCCCATGTTGAGCAAGCAGAATATTCCAGCAGAGCTTCTGGAGAGTCAAGGCAAGACTGAAATGATGTTTAGCAGCGTGTGCTGCCACCAGCTGGCAGCTCTTTTCTACTTTACATTTAATTCATTTTCTAGACCTCAATACAGTAAAGAACAAGAGCTCCACTCTATGCTTCCTAGGTGCCAAGAGTTGGGGCTGACTCCACAGGGAGGAAAAACAGCTGTTCTGGAGTTTCTGTGTCTTGGAACTTGACTGCAGCACTCCACACTGAGTAGTTTGGCGGTGACACAGGGCTTGAGGGGTCTGGGAAATTTCAAAGGTTCACCTTTTGCTCTCAGTTACACCACTGAAATACTGTAAAGGCAATTCTGAAAACAGCAGAGCTGTATTGAATTTTTAGACGGATAAAGCTCTGTGGGATCCAAATCAGCAAAAAGACTTCAGGGGATTTATTCTAGTCAGCAAAGTTCTTCATGCTTTGCGCAGTTTCAGGTACAACCCAACATCAATATGCAGTTCCGTTGTCTTTGAGATGGTGTTAAACTGCTGCTGGAGATGATGCTGCATGCTGTGTAAGTCTCCGAAGATACTAGCACACAGGAGAGGGTAGGGGACTATTTCAGAGTAGTAAATCACAGAAATGTCAGGATCTTTTTAGTTTTGAGTTTGTAATTGGAACCTCCCAGCCTGCAGGGAACTTGTATGGCTGCTTTGTTCCAACACAGGAACAGCTCTTCAGAGTTTGGTTGGAGCTACAAGAGAGCATTGAGGCTTGGGCACAAGAAAATGTGAAGAGGGTGTGGATCAGTTGATCTAGGGAGGGTCTACTGCAGCTTCCCACTGGGGCTGGATGCAGCGTGAGGCTGAGTCTTTTAGCTTGATAAGAGAGTAATAGGGTGTGTTAGAGTCAGTCTTCATTTTGCTTTCTCTGGGGTCTTCATTTGGGCTACACTTGTGACTTCATTAGTGTTGATGTGCATTGGTGAAACTGAGAGCAGAGGTAGACCCACAGCAGTCTTGGCTTCTCAGGAATTCAAGTGTTCTTCCCCAAAACTGAGATACCTGGTAAGATGCCATGAAGAATTCCTTCTGACTTCATGGTCTACTGTTTATCTCATTGCCGGGCAGATCAGAATCTGGCCTCATGGGCATCCCACAATAAGACAGAGTCTGGGCTCTTATTCCTTTAAGTATGGTAAGTATGGAAAATGGAGGCAGAACTGGCCTGGTCTACTGAGTTGTGTTCTTAGTAACTTGTCTGCTTCCTCCCCAGTGTTGGTTGTTTTTTGTTTATTTTTTTTGGAAGGTTGCACATGTTCTAATTATGTATGCATGTCCTGTCAATGCATATTAATTGTTACGCTTCTTCTCTGCAGAGGGAAACTTGCCCATAGCTGAAGTGTAACTAATGATGCCAAACCTTCTCTGGAGGCGTGTGGTTATTTTAATTTTGTTTCATTTTCCCCTTCTCCCTTCCTCTCTCTCCAGATGGAGTTGATTGGACCATTCTCTGTGCCTGTGGTTGTGATTTCCCTCACCTTCAATTTTTGTGGCTAACCTGGTTCCTGTCTCTGGTTTTTTTGGGTGTCGCCGTCTGTGCTGTGGCCGTGTGCTCACTTGCATGCAGTTGAGGAAAGGGCCTCCGGTGCCTCCGCCTCCAAAAGTCACCCCTTCCAAGGAGATCAAGCAGGAGAACATCATCAGTCTGTTTGATGACAATTTTGTCCCTGAGATAAGTGTGACAACCCCCTCGCAGGTTAGCTGCTATGCCCTGCATTGTATTTGTCTGCCTCTGAACTTTTTCTTTTCGTCTTTCTTCTCTCTGGAGGTGTCATGCCATGAAACCTGGTCAGGTGAAGGAGGAAGGCAGTCTCAGCATTGGACCACAGAAGGCAAAGAGGGAGATAGGGGGCTATTTTGGAAGGCAAGGTAGCTGGAAGGCAGCTTAGACAAGCATGTAGTCCTTTGAGAGCTTTGGCTCATAGAAGAAATGGGAGAGATTTAGCTGGTGGGAGATGCCAGAATCTCAGTTCAGAAATTATCATTGTGTTTGCGTAGTGGCAGTGTATGTGGAGTGTAGCATCCCTTGCATCCCATTATATGCTCTCTCCAGGCCCAGGGATCCTAGGTGTGGATGAAGCTTGTTTTGTCTACTTTTGTACAATCCCAAACTTTGACCCTGTCTTTTTTGCCTTTTTAGAAGGCAGTTCTGTGCTCTTTAGGTGGGGGCTTTGTATTAACTTTTAAAGCCCACACATGCACTGGAAAAGCCCACAGGAATTGGTGACTGAAGCGTAGACAGGCAGGACTGTGCCTGCTGTGAATTCAGGGCTCCTGACAGACTGTTTTCACCAGCCAGCAGTTCCCATAAGAATATTTTTTTCCTGAGGTGTGACACCTTTTGAAGCTCTAAAAATGGTAACAGCATTTTCAAGCAATGAATTTTCATCTTTACTTACCTTATTATTAACATCACTGGAAGAGAGGATGCCCGCTTGGGGAATTCATTCTATGTTGGATCTAGGAGAACAGATGTTCTTATGTATACAGGAGCCTGACCAGATTTCTGGCTGCATCATGAGATACCTGCATTTATATTTTTATATATATACACACATATACTGTTCATTTTTTTTTTTGACCCTAAATGCTTGTTAAAGCACAAGTTATGCCTGTAGCAGTTCTCATCTGTGACTCATTTGCTGACTTTTCTTCATGTCATGCTGCTCTGTTGCCTCTGGTTTGCCACCTTCCACCTCACTGCTGAAGAGTCAAGGTAGAGTGGAGAGGAAAGGATGATGTCAGATTTTGCATTGCAATAGATAAAGCCTGCAGAGCAGAGATGATTTGACTGCAACATTGGAAGCGTGGGGACCACAGGCAGCTGAGCGACTCTCATTCTCTGTACTTCTTTCTCTTATATCATAATGGACAGTTCTGTCTGCCCCATGGTTTGCATCTTGTATTTCCATGTGAATGCCTGCCCTTAGCCAGTTGTATTCTGCACCTGATCAGTGTCCTGACCCAGGATGGGATCTGCTGTGACATTCAATCAGATTAAATTTCTGAAGGAGGACTCTGGTTGCCAGAACAATCTTCACCGAAGCGCTCAGCAGGCGCTAGTGTTCAGTGCATTGCCCAGGGCTGCTCCTGTCAGATGTCTTGGCTCCAGTGAGCTTTTTTTGTGGGAGATCTGGGTAAAGGCAAAAGGTGCTAGGCCTTGCATGTAAGTGTTGAATGACAGGTAAGATACTTTCGTGACCATCCCACCACCAAACAAAGCTGAAGATTGGGATTTGAACCTTCCTGATGGCCTGAGTGCACTGGAGGAGTGTGCTCAATGCCAGTTTTAACATACTGGTCAAGGTTTATTGTTGTGAGATGGGAGAATTTGGTCGTCCTCATGGAACTGTGGATATCAGAAAGAGAAGAGAATGTTGTTATGGGAGGGAAAAGTCCAAGAGAGAATCGCAGTAAGAGAAAATAAAAGGAAAATAAAACATGGTGATGGTATGGGCTGCATGCAGAAGACTTTCACTTAAATTTTATTGCTGTTTTCCCCATGTTCTTTCACGGTGTGGCTATGATGTAGTTGTGAAGGCCAGCCTTCCAGATTTGGTGTGTTATTGGAAAGGTAGCTGAGGTGGTATGGCAAGTGAACTTTAGAGATCAATGGAAATGGGGTCAACTCCTGCACTTTGAGCTTCCTCTGAAGAGAAATACAAGGAGAGTCTTGTGGTTATGCTAAATTTAAAAGCAGACGTATTGACTTATTTTGAATACTCCTTTGTTGTGACTATTTTATTAAAGGTAATTAGTGAATGTGCTGTCATTGTCTTCAGCTGCTGCATTAATCAGAAAGTTATTCTGCTGACTTGGAAGAGAGCAGCACATGCATGCTGCTTTGGAAGGCTTGTGTATGCGTGTTTCTGGGATACCTGAAATGGAAAGCATTGTAAATATCGTTTTGAACTGGAGTGATATGAGTCCCTAACTAGGGTGAGCTTTTACGTTATGTGTTTCTGTGTCTGAAGGGAATTAGGAGCTTGGGGAGTTAGTTCTGAGCCTTGCTTGTTTTTCTGTCTGGGTCTACATTGCTGAGATGTGTGGCTGAGTAAGTCTGTCCTGGGCTTTTAACACAAAGGCATGTGGATGAGCTGTAAGGTGTAGAAATAAATAAAAAATCACCTGAACTGGTTAGTGGCAGTGATCCTTTTGGCTATAACAGGTCAGGTGCTTGCACCATGTGAGCTCATTTGGTCAGATGAGAAGGTGAGTGAGCCTTATGGAAAAGGCTCAGGTTTGGCTCAGTGGAGCCCTGCTTACTGCCCGTGATTAAAGGCATCCCAGAGTCAGGAGCCACATCAAGTGTTCACATTCCCACACTGTCTTCTACGCTTGCAGCCATAGCACCTGGATGTTGCATACCTTGTCTGTACTGTACATGTGTGCGTGTCTAATGCTCGTACTGCTTTTCTTCCTCACTGCTGCCAAGTTTGATGCCCCTGGGCCCTTCCAGGAGGGAGCCAGCCTGTTGGATCTGGATTTTGATCCCATTAAACCAGATGCCACTATGGGGAAGACCCCTACACCTGCTTCTCAGGTTGGTTAATATCCAACTCTCCCTCTCTCTTTGAAAATGAGCTGTTGCCAGGGGTGGTGTGACCTGCAACCACGTCAGTGACAGTTTGGACCTGAGCTCTGGGTGGCTGGGCTGGAAGCCACCAACTTCTGATGCCCTGCGGATGGGCACCTTGGTCTTCTCTGCTGCGTGTGAAAGTCCAGTGAGAATCACGTGGCTGTTAGCCAGGCCACAGTCTGGCACTAGCTGTCTGTGGGGTGCTTGTGCTTTGCTCAGGTGATCTACTTCTTGATGACACGTTCATAGATCTCCATCCATAGATTAACGTCCTCTATATACTGTGTGGATTTAAACCATGGGTAGGCATTCAACCTCTGCTCTGTGCTCCTGCTGTAAATTGTTCTCAAAGAGATTTTTAGTAAACAGACACTTTGATAGTGTGCAGTTACTTAAGATGAATAAAACTGCAGAGATACTCAAGTGACACGAGGCCCTTCTGTCTGAGTATAACATAGCCTCTGTTCATGATAATGAAGTGGCTTCCTCCCTGGACATATTGCCTCACAGTGAAGTAAAAGGAAGATTCATAATTCTGGTCTGACCTGTAGCTGTTCCTGTCCTACTAGAGACAGGTGGGCTGCACTTTGGTTTCTTTCACCCAGACATTCCATTTCTTATGTGTGAAATACATGTTCTTGGCCTGTGGTTTCCACTAAAATTCGTAGTAATATAATTTGGATGTTACAGTATTTTTCCAGTATCATGAAGTCAAGTGGGCCTGTATGGCTGATCTTTCTAGCAGTAGGATCTCTGTTAAAAGTTTGATGCTTCTAAATTAAAATACTGCGTCTGCGAAATTCTAGTTATTAGCATAGTTTAATACACACCAATGTGCCAAACTGCCACTTTGGGGAACTTTAAATGGACAGATTGGCATTTCTTGACTGCATCACTGCTACATACCCCAGAATAAGCTTGTTTTTTGTTGTTCTGAATCACCTGTTATAACTTGAATAATTGGGTATGTTGACATTGGATATGAGTTTGAATTTATTTTAAAATGAAATTATTTGCAATAAATGCAATAAATGTTATGCTGAGTGGGATTTTTAAAACTGTTCAACAGTAACATGTTGCACATTTATTGTTAGTTTCAGAAGTCACTTAAGAGTCTGAAGTTAATACTTTACAGTGGTAACCACAGTATTAAACCTAGCACAAACCTCCCCATTTTCAAAGAATTCAGATTTATTTCCCACAGGGCAAGTGATATGGCAGAGAGGTTAAAATATTTCGCTGTTGATCCAAAGATATGGGCTGAAGTCTTGCTCTGAAATAATGTGTAACTCTGGTTGAGGAGATAAGAGAATATTTAACTCTGATAGACCACAAATTCATGATTTTTTTTTTCCTGTCAGTACTGGCACTAATAACTGAATGTGGCTTAGCTGTCTCCCTTCATACCAGAGCAAGGAATGACCCTCATTCGGATATGTTAGTGCTTAATTTGGAAATGCAATGGGGATGAGTGTATAGATCTGCACACTTAACAACAACAACAAACAAAACAAAACAAAACAAAACAAAAAAAAACCATGCGGAGGTAAGTAGTGCTGTTGAATGTGTATGTCTGCTTCAGACTGTCTGTAATTTTGTACTTGCTGAAATAATTGCATATAAACATGTTTTGTTTCTGTTGCTCTTTGACATGCGTAGTCTTTACCTTGGGATTTATGGGAGGTAAGAACTTCCTGTGGCTGTCATCTCTCATCACATACTGTGCACGCCTGTGCCATCCCTGCTTGCATCTGTCTCATTTCCCTCTCTGCTTTTCCTCTTTGCACACCTCAAACCAAAGTTTCTTCATATACTGCTGAGCCCACTTACATACCTTGCCCATAAAGCCCTGGGGCAGCCACGTTTGCCACGTCTGGCACTGTAGCTTAATGCCTCTAGCAGCAAACCAAGCCACAGCCTTTCCCTGCTAACTCGCTTATCTTTCCCTTGGCATGATACTGAGACCTTTTTCCCAGACTTAATCCCACTGTGGCATTATCCTCACCCTCCACCCTTTCGTGTGTATATCCTGTTGGTCTTGTGTGTTATGCATAAATGTCTCAGGAGTCCTTGGTCCTTACTGCCTGTACCGTTGGGTATATGTGTGCATATTTGAGGTTATCTGCATTATTTGCTGCTCGTTGACCATCATTGTCAGAAAGGCTGATGTGAAATAACTCAGCCTGTGTCCATGCAAAAACTTAAGTGTAGGCCCAAGGCTTGCTTGTTGTCTGTGACAGCCCCAGTTTTGGAGCTTTCTGACTAAGGAAGAGCCTACATGCTCTACATCTGAACCCAAACAGTGCACTCATTTATGCCCTCTAGATGTATCAAGCCTGGGAAGGTCTCGGAGCACTGCAAAACAGCCCACTGGGAGATGCATCAAGCACTGCTGATTATGAGCCCCTCTGGACAAACAGGTAGCAGTGTAGGCAGAAAATGTGTGATCTGGGCATTCATACCTGCAGCTTGAGCTGGCTGTAGCCCATACAGTTGATATAGGCCTCATGTCCTTGGCTTGCACCAGGGAATCAAGTCCTGGAAATCTTTGGATTCTCAAAATCCACATCCCCTACTTAGAGTAAGTACATGGAAGAAAGCAGCTCTGCCGTTGCTGAGAGTTTGGCCCAAGGACTCACAGCGGCCAAGGCTGTCCTTCACATGAGTCTGTTGAAAGATGTTTCCCTTGAGTGTTTTATCAGCCATCAGTGTTTAACCTGTCATTCCCTTTTATGAGCATTGTTAGTCTGTCTGGGAAAGTAAAAAGTCAGTGCATTGGCACTCGAATTGCCATTCAAGTGGACAGGCAGTGAGTGAGGTATAACTATATGTGGTGTAGTCTAGGTGCAAAAGGTATTTGAAGTCATTTCTTCCATTTTGGAAACTGATTTCATCCAAAGGACAGTTTAATCAATTGGGGAGCGCTGTTACAGCAAGAGGCTCTCAGCACGCCAGTTGCCACCTGAACATACACTGTTAAAGGACACAGCTCCCTATATCTGGGAAATTTTGTCTCCTCAAGCCTTCTGAAGTGTTTTTGCTCTAATATTGTTCTGAGATGGTGATGAGAGGTCTGTTGGATGATAAAATTGTACCATATGTTATATGGTTAATAACGATAGAAATTTGGATGCAGGTGAACTTGCTTAATTCTGCAGACAAGTAAACTTGTGCTTTGTTTGTGTGATGCTGATGTTTGAATAAACAAAGCTTTCAAACAGGCAGCAGCAGTGAGCAGTTCTCACTCTTCTTTCCATGACTGCAAATGTTTTTGGCATGCCTACAGGTACATAAAATAGAAAAATAAGTAGCTGACATGAAAATGCCTTTTGTTGAAATACGGGGAATTAATTTAAGTCCAATTTCTCTAGTTATTAAATATTGTTTTTGCAAATCAGCTGCTTTAAGAAATCTGTGGCTCAATATGAGCTGCTTTTCACCTATCCACATAAAAACCATGCTTGGCCTGATAGAGTTGTGCTGGCATCTGTCCCAATTCTGGTTGCACTGAGTCCAGATAAAAGGCAACCTGGGAGCAAATCTAATTAAACAGGAGAAGCCTTTGTAGCATTTAATATGCATACATTTACCTTAGCTATTCCAAAGCTGCTCTGGGAATCTGCTGGATGGGAACAGGTCTGCTATTTATAATATCCTCTGGCAACATCGGCCTGTGGGCATGCTGATGAGGGAATACGAGGAAGGATGTGTCAGGAGAGGAAAGCGTGTGTTAAATGGCACTGTTGGAACAGCTGAAGTTTAAGTGATGGCTTTTGGTTAAATAAAAGTATTTCTTTCTTGATTGTTTCTGCTGTTACTGGGAAACCACTTGGATAGTTGTGCCAGTATGTATCTGGTACTCAGATGAGTATGGAGCTGGGGTTAGCATGGCTGCTGCTTTACACAGTGTGTGCATGCTTTGGTCTGGCCAGGTTAATTCAGAGAGCATTGGAGTTCACTCGCCTGACTGGTGCTGCACACCTGCTGCAATGAAGGCGCAGAGCTTGGCTTGGTGTCAGCCCAGGTCTGATGAAGGAAGATAGAAGAAAGGTATGGTGAAGGAAGGGTGTTCAGAGTGTGGCTTAAAACCTGGTGGATCTGTGCATTTTCTTGTTGTTCTTATGAGGATGAAGAGACCTCCCTGTCTGAGGGATGAGTTTGGGATCAGTCCACAGACTGTTTCTGAGCTTCAGTCACCATTGGTTGGCTTGGAATGTCTGCAGAGCCCAGATTCAACAAAGTTATCTGGGTTCCCAGGGAAACTGCTGAAAGCTGGGGGGTTCACTGATCAGTTGAACCTGGCCAGAGTGCTTCTATAGAGCTGGGACTAGGAGAATTGCAATAGTGGGATATCTGGACAGTGCTTTGCTTTGAAAATGGTTGTATTTGGAGGTACGTGTGCTTACCAAATGTATGAATCATGCAGGCATTTAAAAACTTGTTTATTCACGTGTTAAAAATGGGAAGTATCTGTATTAGCAGTTTCTATTGTGCAAGTTTGAAGCAGGAATCTAGTTAGATTATACAAAGAGTTGTCTGTGCTATGATTGAATAAATATAGATGGGCAGTGAATGCTTCCAGGCATTAAATTAGAAAACAGACCTTACTAGGCCCGTGAGATTCTTGTCAGGAGTCTTTCTAATGCTGTCTGGCTGGAAGTATTAATGCTTCCAGATCCAACTTAATTCCTATGCTGCCGCAGTTTCTGGGAGGGGCAAATGAATGTCTTTATTTTTGCATTAAAACAAAGCTAGCTTGGCATCAGGTGTGAGAGACCAAAAGCTTGAAGCTCTGGATGAGTACTAGAGCTCATTCTTTGCTGTGCTCCTACTTCCAGGAGCAATCTCTGCTGGGCAGTGGTTTGTAAGTGATGCTGAATAGCTCCTGGTGGAGGTAGCTTTTGTGCATTAGATTCTTCCCTACCAACCACGCAGACACCATGCAGAATAGTCATAGCAAATTCTTACAAACAATCCAAATTCATGACTCTTTGGGCCTGTCTAGAATCAAACTGGATTAAAATCAGCATAGTTTTCAGTTGAGTTTCATTCACAGCTAACATTATAAAGATGCTAGGTTCACACAAAGTTCCACATCTGGACATGCTATTACCATGCTCTTCTTTTTCTGGGAGTATATGAAGGCTCAAATGTTCCCTGATTATTGATGCTTGGAAATAGCCTATTGGTTGATCCCTGTCTGTTGGCATGTGAGCATTCACATTGCGTATTCACATGCAAGTGGAAATCTAGATGTAGTAACAGATACTGTGTATGTAAGTAAGTATGTTAAATCCTGAAAAGAAAAGGCATACAGGTTCTGGGGATTGCATTGTTTCTTCTGCAGTATTGTCTCTTGTGTGGCTGAGAGGGGATTCAGGCTTTACTGTGGTTTCTCTAGGCTGCAGAGAATTGGGGAGGCAGATGTAGTGAGAACTGAAGTTCTTCACCTGTTTGTCAGCAGATGGCAGCAATCAACCGTGTAGGGAGCACTTGGACAGACTGAGCTGTACTTTCTGCACACAGATATGACGGTAATGAGAGTAACTCCACTTGAATGGATTCTGTGTTGCAGCCTACAGAAGCAGCCCATGCAGGAGCTGAAGCAGCTGGATCTGAAGCAGCAGCTGGAGCTGAAGCATCTAAAACTGAAGGTGATTCAGGATCGGTAAGTACCTCAAGAGAAAGTAGTTGCTTCTCCACCACTTCTCTTTGTCATACAGCCGACATATGGGAAACTAGGCTGAAAAAAGAGGTTTGCAATGGCTTGGAAAAATGCACCCTTGCTGCTTGAGCAGTTACAATGGTCTTACTCAAAGGCCAGAGTTAGCTGTTGTGTTTTCCCTGTGTGATACTTAGGGATAAACTCAGCTGGAAGATCTTTAAAAAGAGCCTTCTATTTGTTCATGTCATGAAGCCAGCCTACAGCCAGCCCCTTCTGTATTAAGCTTGCATCATCTGATGGGCTCCTCCTTTCCCACCATTTACTTTACCTCCCTGAGCTCTGCCTACACCTCCTGAATAACCAGATCTCCTCTCTTTTGACACTATCATGTTTTTAGGGGCTGGAGTAGGTCCATTTTATGGCTGCTTGGTTCTTCTAGATTGTCACTTGTGACTTGTTCTTCATGGACTTTACAAGGACTGCTTTGTGACTGCATTAAATGGAAAATGCTGCAAGTGTGGTCCCAGAAAAATGCTCTAAATCCTCCATGAACTTTGCAGCCATAAGCAAAGAAGGGCAGCAGTCTTTACTGTCATTTGGAGTGTTCTTGTCACTGTTGAGAAAACCCACTGAAACTTGGATGGAGTTGGTATTCCCAACTGGGTTATGGATAGTTTTGATGTGAATCCTTCAATACGGATCAGTGAACTGCCCATCTTGGATTCTCCTTTCTCAATGGTCCTTTTCTTTCTTTGGCTGCTGCCTACCAGAGCTCTCTGCCTGCTGTCGTTGTGGAGACTTTCCCTGCTACTGTCAATGGCACCGTGGAAGGAGGCGCCTCCTCTGAAAGAGCTGACATGCCACCAGGATTTCTGTTCAAGGTGAGTGCATGCTGGTGGGACACCAGGTTCATGGTGATTTAGTTCCAGTAACAGTTTAACTACATTCACTAAGTGTGACTATGGGATATGTCACATTGAAGGGTCTTGGTAGCAAGGCATCACAAATGCATCATGCCCCATGAAGTGACAGCCTCCTTTTTTGTCTGATCTGGTGTAGGAATTCTTTTTTTTTCTTTTTTTTTTCTATTTCAGTTATGTTCTCATACGGCTTTTTCTGGGAAATCCACCAAAAGCAAAAGAATGGCTAAACTTGGGAGAACAATAGGAGGGTCATTACATTCTGACTGATTATGGGCGGAATTGTAGTTTGTTATAGCAGTTGCATATTATTGTAGTAGTTGAAGTGAAGGGCTTTGGCTTGAAACAGAAAGACTATAACACAGATCTTGATAGTAGATGGGCTGGAAGAAAGAGAAATACAACAGGAGAAAATCACTTGAAGTTCCAAACTGATGCTCTTGTATCAAACAGGGAGAGTAAGCATAGGTGACAGAGTGGGGAGGCTATGACCTCTAATACTCTTGAAATCCAGATGCTGAAAGAACACAGGGCACCACTTGAGTGAATGCAAATCTTAGGCCTGCACCATGGGAACACCTGGAAACACATCCATCTAAAGGAAGGATGTGCAGGTGCTGATGCGTAACTAATTGAGTGAGTCACCAGGATGCTCCTGTGACTGTGCTGGTCAGTATTAACATGCGTGTGGCTCTCCTCTTTTTTTTGGCTACAGGTCCAGGCTATGCATGATTACACAGCTACCGACAGTGATGAGTTGCAGCTGAAGGCCGGGGATGTGGTGCTTGTGATTCCATTTGAGAACCCTGAGGAGCAGGTGAGCAGGGAAGACTGGGTGTGTGCCTGCGCTGGGATGAACCAAAGGGATTTCTGGAGCTGCTTCTTCCTCCACTAACAGTCTGGCTGTATGCAGAGTCATCAGTTTGTGGCTGGAAGCTGGCTGCAAAAGCCAGTTGTTCCTGTCCTTGTCTTCCTGCAACAGAGGAAGGCGGCTTGTGACTGGAAAGTGGAGACATTATCCTGCATAAAGCATGCGAAGCAGCCATGGTGTCCTGCCCTTATCGGGGCATCTGAGCTAAGGCAATGGCTTTCTTCACAGGGAGCCAAACAAAGCTCAAACTTAGCTCTTGATCTTCGTGCACAATATCTGTGACCACTGCAGTGCAGACCGTGGCGCTGGCCGGAACCACCCAAAGTTTTCCAAAAGATAGTGTGTGGCCAGGAGATGGCAGCAGAACCACAGGCTGGAGCAGGATGCCCAACTCTAGAGAACATGCTTCCTGTCTTTCTCTGGCCTGGATTTAATTGGCAGTTTTTTTTTCTTTAATCTCAGCTATTTCTAAAAGCCTCGAGTAAATCCTCCTCACTTGCTATGTTTGAGGGCTTCCAGCTGATAGAGACTGCAGCAGTTTTACTATCTTAGCTGAGAGAAGTGGTGATTTTGTAAAAATCAAGCTCAGATCTCGGATTTTCATTTGGAAAAGGAAGGGAATTCTTCCAGTTGATTCAGAAGTCACTGCCTCTTCGGTTTTGACAAGATTAGGATTTCATAAGGGGTAAAGGAACAGTGTAGTTCAAAGATGATGTGATTCATGTGGCTCAGCTGTTGACTTTGTGAGTTACAGAGGGAGATCTTGCTGCTGCTTGCAAAATGGGATCTGTAATACGTTGGTATTTCCCACAGCACAGAATGCTCTGTGAGGAAGGGTTGTATGGGAAGAAGCAGTGATTCCTTCCACAGACAAGACTCTTCAGTGGGTGGGACTGCCCTGCACAAGCATTTGTGAGCATTTCCATCTCATAAGACTTTTTGGATGGGAAATGAAGGGCAGCTCCTCTGGTTTCAATGGTAGGAGATGGCATTTATGGAACAGAGTTTTTCAATGCCCTATGTTTGCACTCTAGCTGGATGTGGGTGCAACAGCCATGAACTCGAGACTCTCCAGGCTGCAGAGGGTGAGCTCTGAGTGTTGCTAACAAATGCTGTAGCTGCACTGAAGCCCTCTAACCCTCTACAGTGTATAGCGTGCTACAGCTCATTTCCCTAACCCTTACCATACCCAGCCAGAAAATCTTGGCTGTTAACATGTGCATGAATTGTGCACGTGGGTGGAGAAAGCCTAGGATAATAGACTGTGAGCCATGTCCCCATCTTGCAGCTTAGGTGTCTGTGTTCAATGAGCAGGCCTGGAGTCATCTCCCTTGACAGAAGGCATTGAGGGCAACAGTGCTTCTAATCTGGCACTTCATATGATGTTAAGAGTAGTCAGGAGTCAATCTAGGTCCCAGTGTCTGATCCCTGTAGCTGAGGAGATCCTTTTGAAGCCTGATGCTGTGAGAGTGATGCATGCTATATGGCACATACACTAGATGCAAATGGATGAGCTTTTGTGCTTGCTGTGCTGTGAGCTTGGAAGCTGCCTTCCAGGCACTTGCGCCCAGCGCCTTCTGCCTAGTAGTTTGTCTTCCTGATTTATGGCATGTCAGTCTGTCTGCAGCCCCTGCAGCTGGCTTCTGCAGATGGGCTCCTGACTCACGTCGTTCCCCTGACATCCCCTGAATGCTCAACTCTAAGGCAGCAGCAAGGTCTGTCTGAGCCTGCAGGCACCCAATGCAGCCTGCATGGAGCAGGGAACTCAGGTACAGCGGCTGATCTGAGCTACTGCCACTTGGAAACACACAAGCATGAGAGCAGAAGCAATAACATGGCAGTAGAAAGCAATACATGCCCCATGGATCACCCCTGATGTGGGCTGCATTGTTCCTGCACTGTGCAGGTATGTTTTTAAAGAATATGTTTGAAGGGAAGCAGTGTGTGTCATTGCAAAAATTCACAGGTAACTCCTGCTGGTTCCAGGAGCGAGTCAGAACAACTGTGTGAACTGCATACAAGCATGCCCCATTTCTCCACAGCTTAGAGCATCTGGTTGCCCGAGTATTTCTGCTCTGGCAAGTTATGAAGCTGAATGTGTTGACATAGCTCTAAATGAACCTGGTGTATGCTTTGCCTAGAGCAGCAGATGCAGAGCAAGCTGTTAAGTTTGAAGGCAGTGGTCCTTCATACAGCTCCATTGCCTCATGCTGTGGTCTTGATGCTTAGGCTGCCCCACTGCAAATGGCATGCATGAGCACTTGCAGGTTGCAGGGGTGGGTGGCATGCAGAGGTGGGAGTAGTTCAAGGCATGCGTTCAACTGGGTAGCTGCACACCTAAGCCACAAACAGTGCAACCATCTCACCTTGAATATCTCACTTCCCTCATGTTCTTCAAATTGAGTAGAAATCTCAATGTTGGATGCTTTGCAGAGAGCATGGGATGGAAGGAAGACTGGTTCTCCTCCTGAGCAGGTTCTACCAGGCAGGACTCATTTTGCTTCAGTGAAAAGTCATCCCTGTTTATAGAGGATTGGGTTTAATGTCTGTGGGTTTAATGGCTAGGAGGATGCTTGTGTATGGGGAGTTTTTCCAACCACGTTTTGCATCAAGCCCAACAGCTTGCTGGGTTTTGGGATTAGATGTTGAGCTCCTCAGCTCTCAGTTTTCTTAGACCATGTTTGAGTTATAGCAAGACTCATTTTGTTGTGTAAGCTGCGTCAAATGCTATTCAAACAGGAGCAGAAGATGAGCACTTCCAGAGCACCAGAAAATGGGTCTTTCTGAAGACCTGTGCCCTGTGGAGGTGCCCATTTCTTTCCTGATGATGGAGAACATCAAACCCATTGTGTTTAGGTAGTTGAAAGGTAGGGCAGATGATTGGATCCCATTGCTCCAGAGAATGTCTCCTGCTGCACTGGATGTGAATAATGAAATGTTTCTATTGCACTTGTGGATTGTGTACATTTCATTGCTTCCAAATGCTCTGGGTCAGGCAAGTTTTAGTGCTGACTTTGGAATGTGGCCTTTTCTGTTTAAAAGGAAACAAAAACACTTATCTCCCTCTCCTCAATCCTCTACCTGGATCTCTCCAAGCCAACCATGAGCATGGCTTCGATGTGCCTTGACATCTCCTTGGCCTGCACTCTAAAAAAAATCCTCACTCTTATCTCTCCCTCAACGTCTCATCTCTGTCTTCTCCTCTAGGATGAAGGATGGCTGATGGGTGTGAAGGAGTCTGACTGGATCCAGCATAAGGAACTTGACCAATGCCGAGGGGTTTTCCCAGAGAATTTCACAGAGCGGGTGCAGTGAAAGCATGAGCCTGCCAGCCACGTTTCTGCTGGAAGAAAGCAAGTTTTCTGGTAGATAATTGAAAAAGAGCAGTAAAAACAAAGAGAATTTTAAAGGAACAGAAGCCTGAAAAAATTGTCAACTTAAAGGGTGTGTGCTTTTCAAAGGGCAAGGTTTCAGAAGTAAATTGCAATTCAAAGCGTTATCAAAATATGTAAATACTACTACTACTAAGGCAGACCAATTACGCTCTTCCTCCTTCGGTTTAACAGCGTTTGAATTCAGAGGACTGACACAGAAGCAACTCAGTGTGGTTCTTTAAATGCTGCATTGACTGAATTGGCGTGATGTCAGTCCGACCCCTGGAAAGGCAGCGTTTGTCTGTTGGCTTGAGAGCTTTTGCTCTTGGGTGGGTTCACCTGTTTCGTCTTGAAGGTGGCTTGCATGGCAACTAGAAAAATTCAGCCTTCCCCACAAGATCAACCTACAGTAGGCCAAACTTCCTGTGATGCTGTTGAAAAAAACATTTAGTGTATCGTGTTCACCAATACAATGTATGTGTGTGTATTTTATTTTCTTCCTCTAAGACAGTGTTATGCAAACTAATTTTATATGTGTAGAGAAAGGAGAAACTACGTGGTAATGACATGGAGGTGAAATGTGTCAAGCTGTGCTCAGTCCAAAGTTCTTTCAACTGCAAGCATCTAAATTCTCACAGTAGTGTATTGGCCTGTGAGAGCTAAAGGGAATGGAGGAATTGAAGAGGACAAACAAGACAAAATGAGCAGATGCCATCTACCTGATGGGAATGATGCCCTGCCCCCACAAGCCCTGTAGGCACTTTCAGAAGAGTTTAAATTCGTGTAGATGGAAGATAGCTCTCAAATCTGAAAGGAAAATGTGTTTTTAAAGAAAATTTAAAGAAAAATATTCTTCTGAAAAGATGTCTTAAGAAAAAACACTGAGGAAAAACCATTTGCTTTCTGTGTTTTTAATTGGCATTGTTATCTGTGGAATGATATTTTTTTTTTACTTTCCTTTGAAGATTTCTGTCAGTGAACTATTGTTAGATCAGCTTTCTCCAGTGCTGTGCTGGTGATGAAGTTAACCTCTAAGAAAACTGGACTCTCAAAATACTCATTTAAAAACGACTGCATGACTTCTTGATTTTTTAATGCATTAGAAGAGAAAGGCAAGAATATCAAAGTGTCAGTGTCAAGAGGACACTCTGCAGTCTAATGCTGATGCTGAGACCTTTCCTATGCTCCTGTTTGTTTTTGAGTTTTGTTTTTTAGTTTAAACAAGCAGATGACAAAGCTGTTTCAAAGTGCATATTATACTTGTTAAAGTAAGCTGGTCTGACCCTCCGAGACTCTGAAGTCCAACAAAGGTACTTTAAACTTTACTTGAATACTGATGCAGCTGGCAAGCAGGTCAGGCTATTATCTCTTCTTTTTTTAATGGCTTCCCACCCTTCCTACTCCACAATCTTTTTGCCTTGGAGGGATTTTTAACAGTAAGGTTAACTCCTGCTGTAAAGGGACAGGATCACTCATGGAAATAATCTTATTAGGAGCTGGCTTTTGTCAGAGATGTGCAGGGTGCTGACACACACTACTGAAAATCCCACCTTTTCTCATCTGCTTTAATTACTTGTAGGACAACAGAAAAAAAAGCAAAAATACATTGTAGAGCAAAAATGCTTTTGTTTTGTTTTTGTTTATTTTTTAAGCTTTAATTCACAGCAAAGGGTCAGATTTTGATCAAAACTATATTGCTGTAAATGCAAAAATTGCCACAGTTCTTTCTGCTTTCACCTCTGAAGATAATTGTGTTAGTTCTTTTACAGCAATATAACAAGCATCAAAATCTTCCTGTATATCCAACTCCATCTCAACTATTTTATTTTTTTTTTAAATAAACTTGAGGAATTTTTGTTTCTCACCGCTGTTAAATCCCCAGTAGTACTTAAGAGTAATTGCACACAATACAGAAGGACTGGACTCCACAAGTGGCAGCATGGTGAGCCATTGCTTTAGAATACTGAGCTATTTGAATTATTGTTTTTTTTTTCACCAGGGTTGTCATTATTATTACTTTTTCTTTCCAAAGTATCTATTTTTATGCATTTGTGACTCTCATTACTCCTTTAAAGAATATTCATAGAAGAAAGATATACATTTAAATATACATAGAAATATATATATATAAAAAAAAGCGGGTTGATCCAATTAACATAACGACGTCAGCTTAAAATGTTTATTTTTATGCAAAACCTGTGGATTATTGTTTTTTAAAAAAAGACAAGATTCTAAGTACCAGAGCTGTGATTTTTTTTTTTTTTTTTTTTGGTCTTGCAAGTAATTGTTCTAGAACACTTAGAAAGCTGTGCTGATATCTAATTTATTGTGGATTTTTTGCTGTTGTTGATGTTGTCTTCTGCTGTGTTTTGAACCAGATGACTGTCCCAACAGAAATCCTTGTAAGGCCTTTTCTTTTAATTGAGCTTGCAAAGCAACTATCCAGTACTGTATTATCCCTGCAGAAGTGGTAACACTCTGCAAAGAAGGGATGTTGTTTTCAGGTCACGTGATTGATGCTCAAGTATTGCTAGTGGAGAGGACGGTGCGTCTTTCTCCATTTGCTTCCTTGCACCCACAACCCTCATGCCTCCCCCCCCTCCCCTTGCTCAGAGCACATAGTGTGAGCTACCTAGATTTTGCTGTGCTTGCAGTATCCCATCACAGATTCTAAAAATGCAGGATTGGGCCCACAGGTTGTAAGTTGCCTTATATGAGAGTAGGGTGGCATAGCAAGAAGCTTGTAGATGGCAGTATTCTTTGGAATCATCTCTTTGTCTCCTGGGTTATGTTCAGCCCATAAACAGGCACATCTCCTCCGATTTTCAGGATTGTTTTTTTTTTTTTAATCTGCTAAATACTTTGATTTTTGGTTAGCATTACCTGGTGAAATAAAATTCCCATTTTCCTTTGTCTTAGGACTGATTTAAATAGAAAGAAGGATAGTAAACTCCCAAAGTAGGCTGTGCCCACAAATGGTTTTTCAGTTTGCAGGCTGAACTGAAAAATCTGGGGAAAAACATTGTAAGGGTGGCCTGAAGCTGCAAGGGTGACCTGAGACAAGTTTATTTTGTTTTCATTTTCTCATTGAAATGAAAAAGAGAAAAATCAAAACATTAAGAGAAAAAAATCCTTTCAAACCAAAATGAAGCATTTCATTTTTAGGGTTGCTTTTTCACTTTTTTTAAAAACGTTATGACTTGGGCTATAAAAAGTTGATTTGAGGCACAAAATGTGAAACTTGTTCTGAAAATGCTGAAAGAAAAATGTTTTATTGTTAATAGTCTTTTTGCCTTTGCCTTTTTTCTTAGTCTGACAAATAGTTTCAGTTAACCCTTATTTCTGTTTTTGGTGAATGCATTGTCCACTGAAGAGATCCCAAAGAAGCCTATTGCCCAGTACTGCTCCAATGACAGGTACACTGGACACATTTCAAGGATTACCTGGTATTCATCCCAACAAAGCTGCTGTTTCCCCATCTAATAATCTTCCACTGGATTGTTTTACTGTGTGAACAATAAAAGCATCTTTCAGCCCTTGCCATTGACTGGTATTGTAACTTGATTTAGACATTCTTGCTCTGTCAGTCTCAGTTTGGACATAGACTTCTGACTTTAGATTTATAACATTTCTCCAATTTGAGCCTAACCTGACTGTGCAGCAGGAATTCTCGCTTGCCCAAGTGATAAGAGAAATAAGGCTTTATTCTTTCTCCTTTTTTCTCTCTTTCAGCAACAACAGTAATAGACGTTTACTAGATAGAGTTAGGGAAGGAGGTCCCAGGGTAACAATGAATGTATTGTTCCACATGGGACTCCTACATGCTCTGTGTTGCTTTCTGTGGGCATTCCTGCCTGCTTTTACCACCTTTGCATTTCTTGACTGTGGAGGTCATGCATTAAACAGGATTGTACAGGCTTCATTCCAGTTGCCCAGAGTGATCTGTTTGCCAGTCACTGGCTCTGTTTTTCCTGTTCACAGGTGCAGTACACTTTCCTATTGAAATGTCCAAAGACTGCAGCCAAGGTAAACAGCCCCAGGTCAAAGGGGTCTTTCTTTTATAGCCTGGAGCATTGGAAGGGCTCCATTTTTCTGCCTGGAATCAGGTGTTAACTCAGTTTAGTTTTGCAATGGTGTTTTGAAGGGAAAAGGCCTAAGGCACCTTCTGCTCCCTTACTGTTGACCCTACTCATGGTCTGACCTTGAGGTGCAGTTGGCAGAAACACTACGAAATAGATGAGAGCAAAATTACCACAAATATTGGGGTGCCGTGGTCCTCTTGACTTCAGTTAGAATGCTTCCCGACCTCTTCCTTCTCTCTATGAGGATGATGTTAGTGTAGGGCATTTCCCACCAGCCTGAAGCACAGAATTAGAAGATGCACAAACTCGTGTCTGTCAGCAAATCCTGTGCAGTGCAGCTTGATAATGCTGATAGCAGGAAAACTAGCAAAAGCTTTTCTTCTCTGGGCTGCCAAAGGAAGCTATTTCTTGCTACAGCTGGCACAGGTGCTAGCACATGGAAGCTGAGAATTAGAAGGTCATTTCAGAAATTATATTTATGGAAATAAGTGGAGAAACTACAGCTGTTAAGACTGATCTGTATGAGCTTGTATTTCGATGTGTCTCAGAGCTATAATTCCTTCATGTGTTTTACAGTGTATTCTACTATTCCTGTCCCTAGTCTGCATTTCATGTAGATGGTCCTTACATGAATCTTGCCAGATGCACTTCTGGGCTTATTGCTTCTCTTTAACTGAATTAAATTGCAATGACTTTGGCAATGTACTGGCAATCTCTTTTCCTTCTGTTAATTCATTCTCTGGATTTAACCATGACGACCTGAGAAATGTTTGGTTTTTGGGTGTTGTTTTTTTTTTTTTTTAAAAAAAATTATTTTAATTCTTGTTTTGTTTAAACAAAGCTGAACAATTCCCGTTGTATTCAGAGCTGTGATGCCCAGTTCCAGTGACAAGTACTAGATGGATTTGTCCCATTTTGTTTCTTGGCGATGTTGAGAAATATAATTTGTGTCATCCTAAGTCCTGTGTCAGTTTTTCTTTTTCTCTCTTTGTCTGTCTCTCTCTCTCTCTCTCTCTTTCTTTCTCTCATTTTCCTTACCTCTGAAACAATTCAGAACAATTTAGTACTTCTTTCTCCTCAGAGAGGGGAGTGACTTCAAAGAGCTTGGTCTGCCCAGATGCCATTAAAGCTGGGATTTTGTTCAATTTAGTGGGATGGAAAAGATAATGCTGGACCTTCCCTGAAGAAGTACAGCAGGAGATGAATCTATTCCAGCAGCAGTCTGTTCTGGTGTGTTGTAAGGACCTGACACCAAATGAGTGCAATCATTGAATAGAATCATTAAGGTTGGCAAAGATCACTGAGATCATCTAGTCCAACGTTCCGTTTACCACCAGTATTGCCCATTAAATCACGTTCTTCAGTACTACATATATCTTTTCCTTAAACACCTGCACGACTGGGGACTCCACAGCCTCCCTGGGCAGTCTGTTCCAGTGCCTGTCCACTCTCTGAGAATACATGGAAAGATGAGAGATTGTTGCTTGTTAATAGCAAGTAACCCCAGGACCATGCGATTTTAATCCCTGAAGGCAACTTTGTTGATAGGACAAGCACTGTTCACAGCCAACTGTTTTGGGGCCATTCTGTTACAGCCAGGCTCAGTGCAGCAGTACTCAGGGCGTGGCATGTAAACAGTGCTGGCCAAGGATTGGAACGTGACCTGATGCAAACTGGTGCCAATTAGTACTTTGATGAATGAACTGCCAGGCTCTGAGTTTGCTTGTGTGTGTGCAGACCTCGGGGCCAGACTGCTTTTGCAGAGCCAGGGCGAGGAGTGAGCCAGGCAGCACTTGT